CAAATACACTTCCACTCCAATGCACACACATATTAAATGATAATTTACCATATATTGTCTTCTTTGTGGGACATCCTGCTATCAAGGCAATCATTTACATAATTGTTTCACTTAATTCTCACAAAGATTCCTCTGAGAGGGGGGGTGTATATTTTTAATCCTGTTCTAGGGAAGGCTAAACAGAAACTTGGGAAAGTCAAGTCACTTAGCCAAGGTTACAAACCCCACAAGAAACCAAGATAGGACTTGATCCCAGGTCTTCCTGAATCTAACACACACACTGCTTTCCTTTACATCAACTGACCTCTCAGGACCCGGGTTTTCTCCATTCAGTGAATAGATTATACTAGAAGATTACCTGACTCCTGACACAATTTGATGTCTGTGAAAACAGCTTGCTGTCCTTTGAAACTTCAAGTGTGTTTAGGAGAGCAAACTGAGAAATGTTCTACTTAAAGGGAAAGAGATGAAGAGTGATAGCTATGGTCACAGATAATGCTGTATTTTAAAATAGTGTTTTACGGGCTTCCCTGGTGGTTCAGTGGTAAAGAATCTGTCTGCCAATGCAGAAGACACAGGTTTGATCCCTGGTCCAGGATGATCCCACATGCCCTGGAGCACCTAAGCCCATGCACCACAACTATTGAGTCTGTGCCGTAGTCAGTGAGCCACAACTACTGAACCTACATGCTCTAGCCGCTGAAGTCTGTGCTTTGCAGCAAGAGAAGCCACTGCAATGAGAAGCCCTGCAACTAGAGAATAGCCCCCACCCATGCAACTGAAGAAAAGCCTGCACAGCAATGAAGACCCAGCACAGCCAAAAATAGATAAACAAATAGTGTTTAAAAAGTGAAATAATGTTTTACACAAGGTCTAAGTGGATTTAGTAATTTAAGAAAAGTCTTCATACTAATCCTTACAGTGTTTCTGTGAGTGTACCCAAATCAACTCAACAATCAACACTCCCTCTGTCGTGCTTGTGTCCCTGACCCTGTCAGGGCATGAGTACTGCTGGCTGAAGCCCAGCACTGGGGTGACATTACAGAGAAAATCGGGGAAAGAAGCAGAAGCTGAGCCCAATGCTCAGCCCAATGCTTCCAAGTCTTAGGGTTTCTCCTTTAGAGATGGTGACAGTCAACTCAGGGTATAGAAACAACCCACAGAGTTTTCCTGTATCCAAGTCAGCAGATTCATTTTTGAGTCTCAAATCATAAAAATTATGTTCTCTGCCTTTTCTAATAGAATAATCCAATGTTTATACACATTGCAAAAGGATCACAATAAGGCAGCCTCCAACACTATACTCCGTTACCAAAAATTTTTTCTTTTCTTGTGATCCTTTTATAATCTACTCTTTTGTGTGCTAAGTCACTTCAGTCATGTCCAACTCTTTGCAACCCTAAGGAATGTAGCCCTCCAGGTCCTTTGTCTATGGGATTTTCCAGGCAAGAATACTGGAGCGGATTGTTCTGCCCTCCTCCAGAGGATCTTCCCAACCCAGGGATTGAACGTGCATCTCTTACGTCTCCTGCACTGGCAGGAGGGTTCTTTACCACCTGGGGAGCCACTGGGGAAGTCCCATCTATTCTCTTAGCAAATTGAAAATATGCAAAGCACTACTATTAACTACATTCATAATGCTGTACATTAATCTCCAAGACTTATTAATGTTTTCCACTGACATACTATAAGACAGTGGCTTCGTTTGTCATCCAGCAGAGAAAGCCTGGACTTGTGTTCGTAAACTGAAGTTAACCATCTCCTTTCGGTTCCTTTGTACCTACATATGTTTGCCCATTCTCCTTAAAGTAAAAATGTATGGGAGCAGGACCATTTCCTGAAATTCTGACAGCAGCTCCTCCTGTGGAGCGACACTCCACATAAAATAGTTCAAATAAAATACTCAAAGAAATGGGATTTGGGGCCAGTTTTTTTGTCCAGATCTTGTAAAACTCAGTGGTGTAGGTATGACCAGCCTTGAGTTGAAGACTTTGTAATATCCACTTTTTTTTTTTTTTTTTAGTAAATCATACATTTTATTTATTTATTTATTTTTTCACAACCATAGTGTATCTTTTTTTTTTTTTTTTTTTTTACATGTATTCCCCATCCCGGTCCCCCCTCCCACCTCCCTCTCCACCCAATCCCTCTGGGTCTTCCCAGTGCACCAGGCCCGAGCACTTGTCTCATGCACCCAACCTGGGCTGGTGAACTGTTTCACCCTAGATAATATACGTGTTTCGATGCTGTTCTCTTGAAACATCCCACCCTCGCCTTCTCCCAGAGTCCACAAGTCTGTTCTATACATAGGAGTCTCTTTTTCTGTTTTGCACATAGGGTTATCGTTACCATCTTTCTAAATTCCATATATATGTGTTAGTATACTGTAATGGTCTTTATCTTTCTGGCTTACTTCGCTCTGTATAATGGGCTCCAGTTTCATCCATCTCATTAGAACTGATTCAAATGAATTCTTTTTAATGGCTGAGTAATATTCCATGGTGTATATGTACCACAGCTTCCTCATCCATTCGTCTGCTGATGGGCATCTAGGTTGCTTCCATATCCACTTTTAACAATATGAATATACCTTGGATACAAAGCAGCTAATCACTGAAGGGATTTTAGCTGCTCATAGAGAGTTCCTGGCTAAGGAACATGAATGAGGAGAAATGTGAAAGCCCAAGTTCCGGGAATAAGACAAACCTTCAACTGTCCTCTGAGGAAATGGGGGTCTTTATACACTATTTCAGAACTGTGGGGCTGGAGAAGACTCTTGAGATTCCCTTGGACTGCAAGATCAAACCAATCAATCCTAAAGGAAATCAACCCTTCCAAGAATATTCATTGGAAGGACTGACGCTGAAGCTCCAATACTATGGCCACCTGATGTGAAGAGTTGGCTCATTGGAAAAGACCCTGATGCTGGGAAAGATTGAAGGCAGAGAGGGGTTGACACAGAATGAGATGGTTGGATGACATCACCAACTCAATGGACATGAGTTTGAGCAAACTCTGGGAGATGGTAAAGGACAGGGAAGCCTGGCGTGCTGCAGTCCATGAGGTCGCAAAGAGTTGGACACAACTTAGCAACTGAACTGAACTGTTTCAGAACATGACTCTTCTGGAACTGTCAGTCCTGGCACCAGAAAATTTAAATGACTTCACATGTGGTTCGTTACATCTGGATGCGTCTCATAAATAACAGATTGTAACAACATATACTGACTTGTGCCTCAGGTGCTCAGTGTCCCCTTCAGTCTGTAGTCCCACTTCATTGCTTGCTGCCCACCCCAACCCCCTCCCTTGGCTCTCCTCCAGCAGTTCTACACCCTTGAGCATTGCTTGCAGCCTGCCTGCATTGCTCACCAGCTGTCTCCTGTCTACGCAGCTTGTCTCCCCAGTCAGATTGCAGTGCCTTGTAGACACGGCCAGTCTCAGACATTCATCCATCCCATCACAAAACCACCCCAGCCATCGCCCTTTATGATAGTTTCTGGGTCAGGAAGACATCAGCGTGTGAGTGTGTGGGCTCACTCGTGTCCACCTCTTTGCAATCCCATGGACTGTAGCCTGCCAGGTTCCTCTGTCTGTGGGATTTCCCAGGCAAGAAGGCTGTAGTGCGTTGCCATTTTTTCATCCACAGGATCTTCCCGACCCAGGGATCAAACCCTTGTCTCCTGCATTGGCAGGCAGATTATTTACCACTAGCCACCTGGGAAGCCCGAGACATCAGTGCTGAAATACTCATGCTGTGCCTGATTGCCTATGGCAGGGCAAGGAAGAGTATAAGGAGAGCCTTGGTGAAAGTTTCCTGTGGGAAATGGACAGGACCTAGAAGGGAAGGGACGGATTCACAGAGAAGGTTCTGGGATGTGTTAGGAGAAATATGCTGTGTCTAACCACTACTCTACTTCTCCTCACTGGCCTCCCCTGTCCCTGAGGAAACCCAAAGGCAGTTCATGTAGAGAAAAGCTTCCTCCCCTCAACTTCCCAAGAAGAAATTGGGCCTTTGGGATGGGCAGGGGAGAAGGAGGAGGAAGCTGGCCTTTTCCAAAGGCCCCTCCTCACTGGGGCTTCTACAAGATTCCAGCTCCTGGGTTTCTGCTTTGACAGAAATGTGGTCCCTCAGGTCAGGAGGGGGTCAGTCCATCTGACACCTCTCTCCTTTCCTTCTCTCTCTGCTTCCTCCAGATGGACTGAGTCCAGGGCAGGTGACCCAGAGCCTTGGGTACTGATCTGGGTTAGAGGCCCCTCAGTTCAGTTAAGTTGCTCAGTCTTGTCTGACTCTTTGCGACCCCATGGACTGCAGGATGCCAGGCCTCCCTGTCCATCACCAACTCCCGGAGTTTACTCAAACTCATGTCCATCCAGTCGGTGATGCCATCCAGCCATCTCATCCTCTGTCGTCCCCTCTCCTCCTGCCCCCAATCCCTCCCAGCATCAGGATCTTTTCCAATGGCAACCTCAAAGTCCACCAAGGTAGGAAGGAAGTGGGGGGGGTGGGTGGAGTGGAACGCCTCCACCTAGACGCTGGGAAGGACTAGCCATCCAGCAGCTACAGAGTCCCTGCAGGAAGCAGGAGCAGGCTTCATCCTGTGCTCGGTCTTCTACCGAGGGCAGGCCCCTCGGGCCCTGAGACCCCCGAGGACAGGCCAGGTGAGAGGCCAGGCCCCAGTGGCTCTGGAGGAGTCTGGGCTGAGCCCCTCGCCGGCCCCTCCTCAGGGCTCAGAGCCGGGCCTGGTGCGGAAAAGCAAACAGGCCCCGGACGCTGCCCTTTGGACCTTTTGCAATTTGCCCGGTGCTCCTTCAGCTGCAGCCCTGGGCGGGCGGCCTCGGTCCTCGTATAAATAGGGCCCCGGGCACTGGCCGTCCATTCCCACTGAAGGTGCAAGTGTGGGTGCTGGGCTGCCTGTGGGCGCCCGTCCCCCGGAGCCAGCAAGCAGCGCCGAGGCCAGGCCCGGACAGCAGGCGGGAGGGAGACACCGCCCAGGGTGGCCATGGGCGCCCCGAGGCCCGCGCTGCTGCTGCTGCTGCTGCTGCTGCTCCTGGATGCCGCCAGCGCCCAGGCCAGTGAGTGAGGCCACCCGGCAGCCGGCATGCGGCGGTGGGCGTGGGGGACCAGGGGCCTGAAGCCAGGCCCGGAGTGGTGGCTGGGGCAGCTTGGTCCTGGAACAGAGGGAGGGCAGCCCGAGGATGGAAGGACAGGGGCACAGGACCAGCTGCAGGGGACGCCTCTAGATTCAGGGTGGGGGTGGGGGAGGTGATAGGAGGGACGGAGGATTCTTCAAAGCCTTCTTCCCGACTAGAGGATAATGCAGTGGTCCTTCTGGCGGACCCTGGGACCCAGGTGGAAGAAAGTGAAAACCTACAGTTGTCTTTCTCCCTTTCTTACAGGAGATGAAGTGCTGGAAAATGTCAGCCCCAGCTGTCCAAGTAAGGCATTTCCCCCTGAGCTGGGAAGGGTGCCTCACCCCACCCTCGACCCCTCCCTCTGCACCTCGGATCACTGAAACACTGTGATGCTGTGATTGGTGTACACTGTTCTGACCCCGAGAAGCCAGTTCCTGGAGCCTCTGCCCCCGTGAGGGGATCTCAGCTCTTTTACCCGCCCTTCCTCTCTGTCCCAAACGTTCAGCCTGGGGGTAGGGTGGGGAAGGGACCTGTTGGTCCATGGGCACTTTAAAGAGACTGTTTGTCAGGGACTAATCATTAATCTGAAGCACAAGAGGGTGAAGAAACGCTGACTTTAACCTTTGTGCAGAAATCCAGATGCTCACCCTGAGATTTGTATTTACCTGACCCCTCGGGTTCAAAGGAGCCGGCCTTGCAGTGGTACCCTGTGTTCTATGGAGAGAGCGGGATGCTAACCTCTGATGGGGCAGCACTGCCATCTCGTGGGCGTCTGGCATCACTGCATCTGGACTCAGGACCTAGATGTTCTCTCAAATTGTTCAGGAAATTTCTTTCAAGCACAGCGAAAACCTCCAGAAATTCCTTCTTGGGGGTTTCTTAAGTCAGCCAGATACCCTTGACACTTAGTGAACTTTGCCTCAGATATTTGGTAGAATCTAAAGAGAGCCACAGAATTAGAGTATTTTTCATGCTGAAAAGGCAGTGAGAGATATCTTTGCTTTATTCTGTCAACTCTTAATTTTCCAAGGAGTCTTTCCTGTAGACTGTCTGAGCCTCATTACTTGACACTCCCTGCCTTGTGCTTCAGATTATATATTCAAGGAATACCAGTTAATTTAAATATTAGCCTCAGCACTGCCCGAGAAGTTAAATCTATAAAGAAAAATTAAGTATAAGGCAAAATTAATTGAAAACAATTGGAGTTTAATTACAGTTTTTCATTATCTGTACCACTATCCCTCTATGCCCAGGACTGAGTATCCTTGGGCGAGTTATTTCTGCCGTGTAGCTGACAGATCTCTCCTCATTGCAGAAGATGCAACGCGATTCAAGCACCTCAGGAAATATGTCTATAACTATGAGGCTGAGAGTTCCAGTGGTGTCCCTGGGACTGCTGATTCAAGAAGCTCCACCAGGATCAACTGCAAGGTACGAGGGGAGAGGGAAGGCCACTGGAGGACCCTGGAGCCCAGGGCTGAGCAAACCCAGCTTGTTGCCAGGAGTCTCATAACCTCTAAGTGCTGGACTGGCCCTGTTTGCAAGTCAGCTTCTTTGCTGAGCAGTTGTTTGCTACAGAGACTTTCCTGGTGGTCCAGTGGTTAAGGCTTCACCTTCCAATGCAGGAAGTTGTGGATTCAATCCCTGTTTGGGGTGGCCAAGATCCCACATGACTCAAGGTCAAAAAACCAAAACATAAAACAGAAGCGATATTGCAACAGATTCAGTGAAGACTTTAGAAATGGTTCACATAAAAAAAAAAAATTTTTTTTTAAAACCCTTTTTTTAAGTTGTCTGCCACAGAAAAAATATTTTTACCTACCAGGTTTATCTTGCTATTAGCTTCCATTCCCTGGTGGCTCAGAGGGTAAAGTTTCTGCCTACAATGAGGGAAACCCGGGTTCGATCCCTGGGTCAAGAAGATCCCCTAGAGAAGGGAATGACAATACACTCCGGTACTTTTGCCTGGAAAATCCCATGGACGGAGAAGCCTGGTAGGCTACAGTCCATGGAGTTGCAAGGAGTCGGACATGACTGAGCGAATTCACTGTCACTTTCACTTTTCTTTCCAAGATGTAGTTAGAATATGTGATCTAAAATGTCAAGATTGCAGACCAATAGATTTAACATTTCAAGAGATGTCCAGTAGATGAGCATCCCAGGAAAGCATTCTGGAGTGTGGCTTTTATCATCTAACTGAAATAGTATCTACTACTAAAAAAAACAGAACAGAAAATTTTAAACATGTAGTTTGTTCTCAAATAAAACTTTGCCAGTTGTTGAGACAGACTGTACTCATATCCATGTTCTGTGGAACAGATCTAAGGGCAACTATTGGGGTTCATGTGGGAAAGAGAAGTCAAACTGGGCCACCCTCTTATTTTTAGAGCACCAGCATCTATGCTGTCAGGTAAGGTAGCCGTGCAACTATTTAAATTGAATAGAAGTTGTTTCTCAGCTATATTCAAATATAAAATAAAAAGTTTTAAATAAATAAATGAAAATAAATTGAATAAAAGTAAAAATTCAGTTTCTTAGTCACACTAACTGTGTTTCAAGTGCCCAGTTGGCCCCGTACCTAGTGGCTCCTATATTGGATAGTGAGAATACAGAACATCTCCAGCATTGCAGAAAGTTCTTTAAACCATGCTGGATAACACAAAAGTAACTATTTAAACTCCAGCTATATGTGAAGCTCGAAATAGGCCCTGATAGATACAAATGGTCTTGGATTCTTGTTTTTTCTACTTACATGAAGGAAAGGAAACATTTGCTGTTGAAACCAGTGATAGCCCTCCTCCTGCCTCCTTGGTTTTCTTCCAAACCCTGACTGCTCAGCTGCTTTTCTTCCAGCCAGTTGTACCTCTTTATAACTAAAGGGAGTACATTTAGAACCAATAAAAAATTAACATACTTTGCATACAAAGGCGAAAACTTCAGAAGCATGTTACCCCACGGAACATGGGAAAGGTCAGGAAGCCCTGAGCTGGGGAGGAGGGTTGTATTCTTGGTAGAGAGTCGTAATGTTCTGGTACTCTATCTTCTCAGGTGGAGCTGGAGGTCCCCCAACTCTGCAACTTCATCCTGAAGACGAGTCTCTGCACCCTGAAAGAGGTGTATGGCCTCAACCCTGAGGGCAAGGCCTTGCTGAAGAAGACCAAGAACTCTGAGGAGTTTGCAGCTGCCATGTCCAAGTAAGACGTGGGCCTGTGCGTTCAAATTTCTGAGCTCCAGGCATCATGGCATATGTTTTGCATGAGTGTGTGTGTGTGTGTCCAAGGGGGACATGAGCATGTGTTTATTGTTGGGCATATATGTGAGTACAAGTATTTGTACTCTCTATTCACCATAGAGCAGGGAATGCTGAGTTTTCACAACAATCAAAAAGAGGGAAGTAGTCTTTACCCTCCCCTACTGAAGTTTCCCTAATTATCATTTAAATATGGTTCTAAAAGATCTCACACTTTAAAACTCCTTGAGACGATAAAGCTGAGATGGTTTGTTTAAACAAGTGCATTCATGTTTAAAGAATGAAACAAGACTGTGCCTTGTGGTCCTCAGAGGGGGTCTGGGCAGGACTTGCTGTGACCAAACATGGCTCAGCTCAGCAGAGAACACTGGCTTCACGGGGTCCGGGGAGAGCCACGGCCTGAGCGGGTCCCCCTCCAGGGCCAGCGTCCTGCCAGTGCACCCTGACCAGACCATTCCTGTTGCTTACAGCCGGCAGTGCTTCTGACTGATCAGTATGCACGGTGTGCTGGTTGTTAGATTTTTTTGACCATCACCCCTGCCTCATCTCCAGGTCATAGTTTGCAGTGTCTCCTGCAATGCAGGGAGATTCTTTTCCATCTGAGCCATCAGGGAAGTCCTTGTAGTGTCCTAAGTGTGTGCAAATACAGACAGTCATGGGCTTGTTGATTTGGTAACAGCGGACACTCCTTCCCTGCCCACATTTCAATTTGTTGAACATTAGACTCAGAAGCCAAAATGGGCCCAGCGCATCTTATTGTATCCAAGACTTAGAAGCATCGGAGGGAGTGGGGATGCAGTGATGGAAGGGAGTAGGAGTTGCTTTTTGGTCCTTGTCTGTTAGCTGCTCAGTCATGTTCAACCTGCAACCCCATGGACTGTAGCCCGCCAGGCTCCTCTGTCCATGGAATTCTCCAGGCAAGAATACTGGAGCGGGTAGCCATTCCCTTCTCCAGGGCATCTTCCCAACCCAGAGAACAGGGCCTCTCACGTTCCATGCAGATTCTTTACCATCTGAGCCACCAGGGAAGTCGTCTTTGGTCCTTACCCTCCTCCAAACAAAAGAGACTTCTGTTTTTGGCCACCTTGAGGCTTTCCTGTGAGCCTGCATCACAGTGTCTGGAATTTTCTGAGAGGATATAGGGCTGTGGGAAGCATCCCTCATCTCTTTTTCTTTCTTCTGACTCAACTAGGGCAGGTGGTCCCAGGCTCTGTGAAATCCCCTAGGGAAGTCACCAAAGAAAAGTCCCTAAAATCAGAGTTGACCCAGGCTTTAGCCACAGCCTGAGATCATATGAAAGTGAAGGAATGTCCAACAAATGTATAGAAAGAAGCTCCAATTCCTTGGTGCTCAGGAGATGAAATTAATGTAACAAGATATTTGCCACGTTATACCCACTTATACTCATAAGACTACAGAAACTTAAAACAACAATAGCACCTGTTACTGGCAAGCCTGTGAGGAAAAGCATACCCTCATGCATTGCTGCTGCAAAGGAGTACCTTTAGTCAATTTCTACTATAATTATAAGTATAATGAAAAATACTTGGAACCTTTGACATAACTAAAAAGAAGTGTAGTAACATGTGAAGATAGATGCATAAGAATGTTTGTATCAGTGATGTTGGTGGGGCAAAAAAAAATTAAACATCCAGGAAGAGAAAAAGTGAATGCCATCAAATAGGAAGCTATCTGAATAAAGAATATATAGCCATAGAATGGACTGTTATACAGCTTTGTAAAAAGAATCTGTTAGAGTGCTACCAGATGACTCAAGAATTTTCATGAGTAGAATTAAATGAGAAGAACAAGATAAATACAAGTATGCATGATGCAATGCCATTTGGATAAAACCAGCAATGACAAACTCTTTCTGTGAAGGTGTTTTCACTCCAACACTTCTGTATAAGATCATATGAGTGTGGAGATATGAATAGAAGGCCCAATGGGCTGTTCTGTGGGGAGCGTGGCTGCAAAGACTGATATGGGGAGAGAGAGGGACTGGGTGAGCCAAGCCAAGCCAAAAAAAAAAAAAAAAAGGAAATGAAAGAGTACCAAAGCATACACATACTTGTATACTTTTTTGAAAATGTATGTGTATATGCTGATATTTATCAAAAACAATGTAAAAAGAAAATAAGTAAAAAGGAGGCTGCAAAGCCACCTAGCTTATGGCTCATGGTGAAGGGACACTCAGTGACCATACTCTCTCTGCGCCAGGTACGACCTCAAGCTGGCTGTTCCTGAAGGCAAGCAAGTTCTACTTTACCCAGAGAAAGAAGAACCCAAACACATCCTCAACATCAAGAGGGGCATCATCTCTGCCCTCCTGCTTCCCCCAGAAACGGAAGAAGCTAAGCAAGTGTTATTTCTGGTGAGAATTTAGAAAACTGATAATAGTGGTCCTTTGAACTCCTCTTTACATAGTGGAGCCAGGTACCCCTGGCATGCAACTGGATCGTTGACTCAGTTGCATGGCTGGTTACATAGGAGGCCCTGTATTGGTGTGAAACACGTTGCTCAGAGCTCCCCTGGCCTCTGGGCTCACTGAGGGCCAAGCCCACACAGCCTGAGCAGGTTGGGTCTAATTTTATAGCAGTTTCTGGGGAGTCCTGACCACCCTATCCTCTGTTTGATTTTGTTATGTTTCCACAAGGTAGAGCACAGTTAGGCCTCTGTGTGTGTGTGTGTGTGTGTGTGTGTGTATAATTTCTGGCCACACTCTGCAACATGTGGGATCTTAGTTCCCCGATCAGGGATTGAACCTGTGCCCCTTGCATTGGAAGGCAGTCTTAACCACTGGACCACCAACGAAGTCCCCTGTGTGCATTTTAAACACAGAAAATAATTGAATCTATTTGCCAGCGTCTTTTAAGAATCCCAGGTTTTGATCTGAGGATGCATTCAGTTTAGTTCAGTCCCGTGAACACTTTTGAGCCCTTACTACGTTCTGAGCTCTGTGCTGCACTCCACGGGGAACAGACACTGCTGCATCCCGCGGGGGCCCCTGCACAGGGAGGTCTCAGGATCTGGGGGGAGAACCAGGACACATACAACACAAAACAGATTGGAGTACATGCCATAAATGAGCAATAGAGAAAAGGCTCCGAGAGCACAGAATATGCAACCAGTGTTGGCTGGCCCCTAGGAGGGCAGGGAGGTATACCTCAGAGCCAGGACCACCCTTAAGAGGTTTTCTCACGTCCACCCTGGCTGCCCGGGAACCAACCACACCCACATTCTGTCCAAGAAGATGAAGCTTTCTCCCAGAACCATGTTGCCCCTGCCTTTTCTTACAGGCTTCTTTCCCAGCCCTACCCTGAGCACCAAAAGATGGTTCCCTGTGTTGAGTACACTTGTTGTATCTTTTGCTGCCCTAGGATACCGTGTATGGAAACTGCTCCACAGACTTTACTGTTAAAACGAAGAAGGGAAACGTGGCAACAGAAATATCTATTGAAAGAAACCTGGAGAAGTGTGATCACTTCCAGCCCATTAGCACGGGAGTTAGCCCACTCGCTTTGATTAGAGGCATGGTAAGTTTCACATCAGCACTGCTATGCACATTGGCAGCAACCCCTTCATTATTAACACTATGGAATGTTAGAGCTAGAAGGGATCCCAGAGAATTCTAGGCAGAGAAAACATAAGGAGCAGTAGGAACAGGTGTGAAGTGTTCGTGTGTGGTAGGACAGGGAGTCATGTTAGATGTGTGCATGCGTGCTAAGTAACTTCAGTCATGTCCAACTTTTTGCAACCCTGTGGACTGTAGCCTGCCAGTCTCCTCTGTCCATGGGATTCTCCAGGCAAGAATACTGGAGCGGGTTGCCATGCCCTTCTCCAGGGGATCTTCCCAACCCAGGGAACAATCAAAAGCATGTTTCATTGTGTTTCCTTCATTGACAGGCAGGTTCTTTACTACTAGTGCCACCTAGGAAGCCCCATGTGCTGGATTCCAGGTTATAAATACTTTGTACAGATCAAAAGTCCCCTGGGGTGAAATAAAAAGAAGTCTACAGCTAGACTCAGCTTTTGGGTTTTCATCTCCTTGACTAAAAGTCAAATATGAAGCTCTCTTCTCTCGCTGAGTTTATCTAGTGGTACAGAACCCCTGTTCCCCCACTTTCTTCCCTGAAGGGAAATACATATGGGAGAAGACTCAGGTTCAAGCCCCAGGGACTGATGAAAGTGCTTTTCCCCTGATCCCATTCACAGACCCGCCCCTTGTCAACACTGATTGGCAGCAGCCAGTCCTGCCAGTACACCCTGGATCCAAGGAGGAAGCACGTGTCAGAAGCCATCTGCAATGAACAACACCTATTCCTGCCCTTCTCCTACAGGTAGGTCCCCAGCTGTAGCCCTGATTCCTTATTTATGGGGCCATTAGGCACTAAATGCTTCTCCGTGCCCTGTTGCAAGCTACTCTGTGCCTGGGAGGAGGTGGGAAAAGGTACAAAGCAGAATGTATTTCTGTCCTCCTATCTCAAGCTAATAGGCCATTTGGTAGGAAAGACTTAGGCATGAGGAACAATTCAAAACCAACAAAAGATTTCTGAGATCCAGACTTTAAGGGCTAGAGATCAGGAAAAACTGGAACCATTACTGGCTACTTGGGTTAGAGAAGCTTTACAGAAGATTTTGAAATTGGCCTAGAGACTTACATATCCATTTTGAAAACTGGTCAGTCAACTAGTGTTGACTGAGTAACTGCTGTCTATATTCTTGCCACTGAACTATGGGAGATAACAAAAGAATTTTGGAGCTTAGTGTTAGTTCATTCCCTCTGGGCACTCTGGAATGGTGGAGAGTGTAAGGTACATGTGTCCTTCTGATGGACGGACAGCCAGCATGACCAGGAGATGTTGCCGTTCACAGGGGCTCAAGGACAGCTGGATATAAATAAGTATGGTTTGAAAGGGGAGCAGGATTAGGGGAGGAGCGGAGATAGGGGAGACATTCAACATGAAGAGCAGAGAATGCTGCAGGGAGCCTGGCCATCCATGACATGCTGTGATTTCTGTGTTGCCAGGAACAAATATGGGATGATGGCACAGGTCACACAGACTTTGAAACTTGAAGACACACCTAAGATCAACAGCCGCTTCTTTGAGGAAGGTAAGATGTGATGTACACATAGTTGCCAGGGCTGGGAAACTTGTCTACGAGGTACCAACCATGGCTTAGCTCCTTGCTAGGCCCTATGAGAGTCCTGGGCCCTGGGCTTCTGGCCATGGGCCATTCTACTGAGAAAGCCTGTTCATTTCAGAATGTCAGGTGGCAATGGGATAAAGGAAAGGGGAGAGTTCTCCCAAAGCTCCCTGGATTTTGGAAGTAGGAAACCAGCCTCCCAAGTCCACTGTTGGTAAATCGGACAGCCGGGCCTGAGCAAGGTAGGGCAAATGGGAAAGGTCAGGAATCAGTCTTTAGAGCTGAAGGGAACTACAGAAACCTCTAGTCCAACCTCAGCCCTGCTTCTATCTTGTATGTCAATGAGTCGTGGGCCCTGCCTCGTTCTCAGCCACCTGTGATGTCAGGTGGTAGCAGCATGTGCTTTTACACCCATTCTACAGAAGGAAAAGGCACACACAGAGAGGCTTAGTGATATATTCAAAGTCACACACTGTTAGAGGCAGTACAGAATGGGCCTCCATGTCTTATCTAAGTCAGGACTCCTTCCTCCGCACCACGGATTCACCCACCTCCTGGGCAGAGGTGAGAGCAGGGTGATGGAGGGAACACAAAACATCCCCCCCAACACACACACAAACTGCCATTAAATCCAGTGGGAAGACAGGACAGGTGAGCACCAGTGAGTCTAGCCTCCACTGTTGTCATGTCAGCAGCACCTCCTCACCAGTTCTTTTAGGCAAAAAGGTCATTCAATCCCATACAAGTCTAACAATCCTGGATTCAATCCCAGCTCTGTCTCGTACACCCAGAAAGGTCTTGCACATGGTGAGTGGCTCACCTCTGGGTCTTAGTTCCCTTATATTTAAATTGAGGAATAATATTAACGCTGGACTTCCCAAGTGGTGCTTGTGGTAAAGAACCCGGCTGCCAGTGCAGGAGATGTAAGAGACTCAGGTTTGATCCCTGAGTTGGGAAGATCCCCTGGAGACGGACATGGTACCCACTCCAGTATTCTTGCCTGGAGAATCCCATGGACAAGGGAGCCTGACAGGCTATGGTCTACGGGGTCGCAAAGAGTCAGGCACGACTGAAGCAACAGCAGGTATGCACAATATTCATGCTAATCACAGGAGAGGGTGGCAACTTAGGGAAACACTGAAGTCAGACCCCTAGCAGAGCTAGACACAAAACAGACACTAAGTACAGAACAGGAGAGAGGAAAAAAAAAAAAGAACAGGAGAGGCTTCTTTTCTCCACCCGCCTCTTGCTGACCCCTCCCAGATCTCCAGCTTCCAGAAGAAAGATGAGGTTAAGATGCAGGGGGTAAGCTGGAATCCCTCTAACACGCTCCTCCTTCCAGGCACTGAGGCGGTGGGTCTTGCCTTTGAGAGCACCAGGTCCACATCACCTCCAAAGCACGCTGAGGCCATTGTGAAGACGCTCCAGGAGCTGCAGAAACTGCACGTCTCTGAGCAGAATGCCCAGAGAGCCAACCTCTTCCATAAACTAGTGACTGAGCTGCGAGGCCTCAGCAGTGAGGCGGTCACCTCCCTCTTGCCGAAGCTGATCGAGGTGTCCAGGTATTTCTCGAGCAGTCGCAGCTCAAACCTTCATAGGTTATGAGCCCATGGGAGCTGGCTGAGACCTCAGCCAGAGAATCTCAGGAATCACTGAAATTTCAACCCATTTAATCAATTGAGTCAGTCAGTAAATGTTTGCTTGATAGAGAAATGTCAGCTAAGGTGTCTAGAGTTCCATGGGTAACACACACATATATATTGCATCCAAGGTAGATAAATATTTACATGTTAAGATAGGAGGGAAATCTTTCCCACATTTTGATGGGTATCTTCAATCCCTAGTTCTATAATGAGTACCCTGGGAAGTGTGAGAGGAAAAGAAGGCTGTGTTTTCTGGAAGCCTGTAGGCTAGAGGAGAGAAAACTCAAGCAAACAAAATAATACCGTGCCTTCTCCTTACCTCAGTGCAGTCTTAGTGCTGTGAAGGTCAGAGAAGGGACTGGGGACTGGGCAAGTGTTTATGTGGCGTGTTCCATCTTCTGACCAAAGGGTAACAGTCCTCTCTGGGTGTTGAGTCCAGGGGGTCCTTCTTCAGAGTTTGCTCCATGGTGCTTCTCCAGTGGATGCTACTTATGGGGAAGGCTTCTCTGTTCTCTAGGGATCTAAGTTAGATTTTGGAGGATGGTTGGATTTGGATCTTGAAAAAGGGAATTCCTGACAGAGGGAACACTGTGGGCCAAGGAGGTTTTAGCTGCCTAGAAGGTGATCTTTCTTTCTCTGCCCTTTTCTTCGCAGCCCCATCACTTTACAAGCCTTGATTCAGTGCGGACAGCCCCAGTGCTACACTCACATCCTCCAGTGGCTGAAAAATGAGAGAGCCAACCCCCTCCTGATAGATGCCGTGACCTACCTGGTGGCCCTGATCCCAGAGCCCTCAGCTGAGAGGCTGCGGGAGGTCTTTAACACCGCAAGAGTGCAGCAGAGCCGGCTCACATTTTATGCTCTGAGTCACATGATCAACAAGTGAGTTTTCCACTGGTTCTCCTCGTAGGAGCAAAGAATGACCCCACGTGTTAGTATTCTGTTTCTACCCTCCCTCCACTTGCAAATTCTGGTGCTTACCCTTTCATTTGTCTACTGGTCAATTTTAAGAGTAATGACTTGAGATAAGAAATCAGCAAACGTCAGTGTATATTTTAAGATAAACCTTGCTATGCTCGCTAAATCCTAACTCTTCTTCTGTAGCTATCAAAAGACAAACCCTACATGGACAGAGGACCTGCTGGAAATTGCTGATTACCTGTCAGAACAGATTGGCAATGACTGCACTGGGAATGAAGATCTCACCTACCTGATTCTGAGGGTATTTTCAGTTTTTTGCTTGTTTGTTTTCTATAATAGGCATCATTTCAGATGCACTTTTTCTGTCTGCCCCTCACTGCACCTTCTGTGCCCTGATTCTCTCTTGTTTATTTTCAATGCAGATCATAGGAAATATTGGTAAAACCATGGAGCAACTAACCCAAAAACTTAGGTCTTCAGTCCTGAAATGTATCAGAAGTGAACAGCCATCCCTGGTGATCCAGAAGGCTGCCATCCAGGCCCTGCGGAAAATGGAGCTTAGTGACGAGGTGAGGTCCGCAGAAGAGGGCTGAAAATGACGAGTTGATTCAGATTGACAAAGATTTGGAATGAGATTCTAAGTCTCATCATTCTACTGACTTTATTCTACTGCTCTTTAATTGCAAATTTCAATATACCTATTGACTGCCTGGGGCTTCCAGATAGCTCAGTGCTAAAGAATACTCCTGCCAATGCAGGAGACACAGGTTTGATCCCTGTGTAAGGGATCAAACACAGGGTAAGATTCCCTGGAAAAGGAAATGGCAACCCACTGCACTATTCTTCTCTGGAAAATCCCATGGACAGAGGAGCCTGGCGAGGTACAGTCAATGGGGTTACAAGAGAGTCAGACATGACTTACCGACTAAACAACAATTGACTGCCTAGCCATATGTGGACGTGAGAAAAATAGTTGACCTTCCTGCTTCTTCAGCAAGCAAAGTGTGATTTTTTTTCACTACCTGCTGTCCTCTCACCAAATTGACCATCACTCCCATCCTGGGAAAACCTGTCTGATTTTTTTCCCCCAATTTCCCTAGACTAAGAGAGTCAAACTGGCCCCCAAAGGTGGTGATGGTGACTCCACAGCTTTGCAGACAACCTGACTTTCTTATTAGCATTAAATTCTCCTGATTCCTTCTCACTTATCCTCATATTGAAATAATTTATGTTAAAACATCTTTATCTTCAGTTAGTGGCAGATCTCCAACAAGTCATAACTGGGCCATAACTTGTGTATTTTAATGCAATTGAATCCAGCAGGCATATTTTTTTAAGATTCTTTTTGATGTGGACTATTTTTAAAGTCTTTATTGAATTTGTTACAATATTGCTTCTGTTTTATGTTTTGATTTTTTGGCCACAAGGCATTTGGGAACCTTAGCTGCCCAACCAGGGATCGCACGCACACCCCCTACATTGCAAGGCAAAGTCTTAACCACTGGACCACCAGGGAAATCCCTCAACGTGCATTTGATAGGTGTCTTCTGAGAACCCTTCCTTGAGCTGTTTGCTCTGGGTGAAGAAGGTTCAGTAACAGCATTTGAAGAATTCATAGAGAGAAATTCCACTTGCAAAATAAGATCAGGCATGTTTGCCAGACATGTTCCATGTTCTGACAGTGATGACAGTCTTGTCTTTGGGCTACAGGTCCGGGAAGTCCTTCTTCAGACTTTCCTCGATGACTCCTCTCCAGGGGATAAGCGGCTGGCTGCCTACCTCATGCTGATGGGGAGTCCTTCCCAGTCGGATATTAGCAAAATCACCCAACTTCTCCCTCGGGAACAGAATGAGCAAGTGAAGAACTTTGTGGCTTCCCACATCGCCAACATCTTAAACTCAGAAGATTTGTACGTCCGGGAGTAAGTAAAGTCATTTTCCTGCGTCTGCCATAAGGGGCTAAAGTTCCAAATCTCAATTCTGATTTAGCTGCTGCCTGCCCTTTACAGGCTGTCCTTTCTTCTGGAACCAACATCTGCGTGCAAGTGCAGCAGATCTGAGCCAAGGTTTTGGGGCAAATAAAACCCAGAGAGTTTGGTAGTGATTGGAAATCCACATTGACTTGGGGGTGAAAGAGTAACACAATGTGTGTCAGCTCAAAATCCTCTCCTTTTTGTCTAGCTTGAAAAGCTTAGTGGAAGAAGCTCTGAAAGAATCTCAACTTCCAACTGTCATGGATTTCAAGAAATTTTCCCGCAACTATCAGGTTTCCAAATCGATTTCTCTTCCATCACTTGACCCAGTCTCAGCCAAAATTGAAGGAAATATTATATTTGATCCAAACAATTACCTTCCTAAAGAAAGCATGCTGAAAACAACCCTCAAAGTCTTTGGATTTGCTTCAACTGACCTCTTTGAGGTATGTGTGGGCCTGAAGCAGAGTCTTATGTTTATCTAGCCAATTCTGGTCTACATCATAAATAGTCAAGTCAAGGGAGCTGTGAGCCAGCTACAGGAGGAACAAGAATCATCAGGCAGTGATACCGTCACTTCTTTCCTTTCCCCCTCTTCTTCCTGCCTCCCCACTAGGGGCCATGAGAAGCATGGCTCCTTATATGAATGGAAGTTTGATGTCTCAGAGAAGCCCTTACACCCTAAATCCAAGGGTTCAAACCCCAAATTCACCCCCAAACCAGAATCTTCAGTTTAACTATGTATCTCCTCTGAACCTTAGCTGCCTCTTCCAGAAAACAAGCACATAATAGGTTTTGCCTTGCAAGATTCCAGTGAGATTTAAATAAGACAACTCCTGTGGAGTATTCAGGTCAACTCCTGCCCAGTAGCATTCACCAAGTACTTGTTTAATAGATTGAGCATAAATAAGGGAATAGGAGATGGACAGACAACGGATAAACCTGATGGTGTTTCTTGCCTGATTTTCTCTCTCAGATTGGTTTGGAAGGAAAAGGTTTTGAACCAACACTCGAAGCTCTTTTTGGAAAAGAAGGATTCTTCCCAGACAGTGTCAACAAGGCTTTGTACTGGGTTAATGGTCGAGTTCCTGATCGTGTCTCCAAGGTCTTGGTGGACCACTTTGGCTACACCAAAGATGATAAACGTGAGCAGGTACGTTTTACGTATCCTCTCAAGGAAAGCTTTGGGTCTCAATGCGAAAATGTTCTTATCTAAGCCTGGAAGTCAGCAAAGCACTATCTAACCAAAGCAACAACTATGGCTATTACTAACCAGTCCAGTGGAAATAAGAGACAGTGATGGGCCTTCTGGAGATTCAGTCTGCCCAGAGTCCAGGCTCATTAGAGGCTCTCTAGCATAATGATTAATAGTGTGAACTCTGGGGCATGGGTTTGAAATCTAACCTCACTTTCTTCAAGCTCTGCATACCTGGGCAAGATACTTGATGTTTTATGTTTCCACATCCCCAGAATACTAATAATAATTTATATCCTTCACAAGGATATTTAAAGACTAAATGAACTAAAGTATGTAAAAAGCTAAACAAAGCCCCTGACTCTTGTGTTGATTATTCAAGAAGCAGATAGTATTATAATTTTGAAATTCATATTTTCACTATTATTAACTACTTTCTTTGGCTATCACCCACATCCGTGCACTAGCAAATGGAAGCAGAATCCTCTTTGAAGTTGGCATAAGCCTCCACTTAAGGAGCATAAAATAGATTGTGTGATCTGGACCTTCTTATTCTTTAACTCTTTGCTGTCCAAAGCATGGTCCAGTCATTGGCATCACAGCAATGCTTGTTAGAAATGCAGGTTCTCAGGCCCTACTGGCCTCTATGGAATCAGGACTTGCATTTTAATGAGACCCCCCCCCCAAGTGACCAGTGTACACATTTCAATTTGAGAAGCAGGGCAGTAATTTACTCCCCAATGCTCACCTCCATCTCCTAATTTACTCACCTCCACTTGAGGCTGAGGGTCTTTGATCTGTTTTGGGTCTCAATCACTCTTTCTTTCTCAGTGCCTAAGCATCAGTCTATGGAATTCTTATGTCTAAGAACTTACCTAGATCAGAGCTTCCCTAGATGAGGTATGTTTCAAGCTTTTGGCCAATGTATACAGCAGCTATGCTTTCCCAGGAAATCCCTAGTGTTTTCCTCTGTCAGAGGAGTGAAGGAGTAAGCATGGGAGGGGATGGGGGACAGAGGATCTTCCAATCTTGGGGAGCCATAGGGATCCTGGCATGCTGGAGAACAGAGATCACCTATGCCTACATCATAGATCACTTGAATGCCTACACCATTCAGGTTAAGAACAGTGTGGAAGCACCATTATCCCTGACAAGACCTTAGTTTTTTGGTTTTTGTTGTTGTTGTTGTTTTTAATGTCAGTTTGAAGGAGCCGTCTATCTTCTGATAAAAGGTGGGGGCCTGGTTTCAGTGCCTGTCCCACGTCCCCACCATGAGGGTTTATGTTTAGGCTCATCACAGCTGCAACATCTTAACCTAAGGGTGTTTGACAGCACTCACATCTCACTAGACATTTTGTTGTAAAATCCCAGGACATGGTCAATGGAATCATGTTCAACGTTGAGAAGCTGGTCAAAGATCTGAAATCCAAAGACTTCCCAGAAGCCAGAGCCTACCTCCGCATCTTGGGAGAAGAGCTTGGCTTTGTCAGACTCCACGACCTCCAACTCCTGGGGAGGTTGCTGCTGAAAGGTGTTCGTACCCTGCAGGGGATCCCCCAGATGGTAAGTGGGCTGTCATAGGGTGATGGATTAGCCTGGGCTCTGTTGAGATCTCCCAGACTCCCTTAAGATCCCAGTCATGCAGACCAGAGAAAGTGCTTGTGCTTCCTCCAGAGAGGCAAGTTTGTCTTAAATGTCAGTGAAGAAGATTCCTGGATTCCTAAGGAATTGATAACATTTAGAAATTAAGCTATTATCATGTTAGATGTATCTCTTTTTTAAAGTAATTAATTAATTAATTTTACTTTACAATATTGTATTGCCATACATTGACTTGAATCCTCCATGTGTACATGTGTACATGTGTTCCCCATCCTGAACCCCGCTCCCACCTCACTCCCCATCCCATCCCTCTGGGTCATCCCAGTGCACCAGCCCTGAGCACCCTGTCTCATGCTCGAACCAGGACTGGTGATTCTTTTCACGTATGATAATTTACATGTTTCAATGCCATTCTCCCATATCATCCCGCCCTCGCCCTCTCCCAGAGTCCAAAAGACTGTCCAATACATCTGCATCTCTTTTGCTGTCTCACATACAGGGTTATCATTACCATCTTTCTAAATTCCATATACATGTGTTAGTATACTGTATTGTTGTTTTTCTTTCTGGCTTACTTCACTCTGTATAATAGGCTCCAGTTTCATCCACCTCATTAGAACTGATTCAAATGTATTCTTTTTTAATGACTGAGTAATATTCCATTGTGTATATGTGCCACAGCTTTCTTATCCATTCGTCTGCAGATGGACATCCAGGTTGCTTCCATGTCCTGGCTATTATAAACAGTTCTGCGATGAACATTGGGGTACATGTGTCTCTTTCAATTTTGGTTTCCTCAGTGTGTATGCCCATTAGAGGGATTGCTGGGTCATATGGCAGTTCTATTTTCAGTTTTTTAAGGAATCTCCACACTGTTCTCCATAGTGGCTGTAATAGTTTGCATTCCCACCAACTATGTAAGAGGGTTCCCTTTTCTCCACACCCTCTCCAGCATTTATTGCTTGTAGACTTTTGGATAGCAGCCATTCTGACTGGCATGAAGTGGTACCTCATTGTGGTTTTGATTTGCATTTCTCTGATAATGAGTGATGTTGAGCATCTTTTCATGTGTTTGTTAGCTATCTGTATGTCTTCTTTGGAGAAATGTCTGTTTAGTTCTTTGGCCCACTTTTTGATTGGGTCTTTTATTTTTCTGGAATTGAGCTGCAGGAGTTGCTTGTATATTTTTGAGATTAATTCTTTGTTCATTGCTTCGTTTTCTATTATTTTCTCCCATTCTGAAGGCTATCTTTTCACCTTGCTTATAGTTTCCTTTGTTGTGCAGAAACTTTTAATTTTAATTAGGTCCCATTTGTTTATTTTTGCTTTTATTTCCAATATTCTTGGAGGTGGGTCATAGAGGATCCTGCTGTGATTTATGTCAGAGAGTGTTTTTCCTATGTTTTCCTCTAGGGGTTTAATAGTTTCTGGTCGTATGTTTAGATCTTTAATCCATTTTGAGTTTATTTTTGTGTATGGTGTTAGAAAGTGTACTAGTTTCATTCTTTTACAAATGGTTGACCAGTTTTTCCAGCACCACTTGTTAAAGAGATTGTCTTTTCTCCATTGTATATTCTTGTCTCCTTTCTCAAAGATAAGGTGTCCATAGGTGCATGGATTTATCTCTGGGCTATCACCCTAATACCAAAACCTGACAAAGATGCCACAAAAAAAGAAAACTACAGGCCAATATCACTGATGAACATAGATGCAAAAATCCTTAACAAAATTCTAGCAAACAGAATCCAACAACATATTAAAAAGATCATACATCATGACCAAGTAGGCTTTATCCCAGAGATGCAAGGATTCTTCAATATCTGCAAATCAATCAATGTAATACACCACATTAACAAATTGAAAAATAAAAACCATATGATTATCTCAGTAAATGCAGAGAAAGCCTTTGACAAAATTCAACATCCATTTATGATAAAAAAAAAACCTTCCAGAAAGCAGGAATAGAAGGAACATACCTCAACATAATAAAAGCTATATATGACAAACCCTCAGCAAACATTATCCTCTATTGTGCAAAATTGAAAGCATTTCCCCTAAAGTCAGGAACAAGACAAGGGTGCCCACTCTAACCAATACTATTCAACATAGTCTTGGAAGTTTTGACCACAGCAATCAGAGCAGAAAAAGAAATAAAAGGAATCCAGACTGGAAAAGAAATAAAACTCTCACTGTTTGCAGATGACATTATCCTCTACACAGAAAACCCTAAAGATTCCACCAGAAAATTACTAGAGCTAATCAATGAATATAGTAAAGTTGCAGGATATAAAATTAACACACAGAAATCCCTTGCATTCCTATACACTAACAATTAGAAAACAGAAAAATTAAGGAAACAATTCCATTCACCATTGCAACAAAAAAAATGAAATACTTAGAAATATATCTACCTAAAGAAAAAAAAGACCTATATATAGAAAACTATAAAACACTGGTGAAAGAAATCAAAGAGGACACAAATAGAGAAATATACCGTGTTCATGGATCAGAAGAATCAATATAGTGAAAATGAGTATACTACCCAAAGCGATCTATAGATTCAATGCAATCCCTATCAAGCTACCAACCGTATTTTTCAGAGAACTAAAACAAATAATTTCACAATTTGTATGGAAATACAAAAAACCTTGAATAGCCAAAGAAATCTTAAGAAAGAAGAGTGGAACTGGAGGAATCAACCTGCCTGACTTCAGTCTCTACTACAAAGCCACAGTCATCAAGACAGTATGGTACTGGCACAAAGACAGAAATATAGATCAATAGATGTATCTTTTAACAGCATTCATTTGTTCATGTGGAAAACAGTATTAAGTGTATCTCTCTACCTAGAGATATTTAATATTTAATATTAAATATTCCCTTTAATATTTAAATGATGAAGTGATTATGAAACAAAGTATGTAGAAAACTGCAGTCCATTGTCTAAATATTTATAATTATTAGTTTATTTAAAAGGGAGAAAATATCCAAATATACTCCATAGGATATAATGAATAATAATGTGGCTTTCATAAAAGAGATCTCAAGTTATTTTCCAGAGGTGTTATAAAGAATAAACATCAATGCATACTGATATGTACATCATTTAAATAGTTCATCAGTTTTAAAAAACTGGTTTGACCATAATATATTGTGCTGCAAGTATTCCAATGCCAAATAATCAGAATTAAGTCATGCCATGCAATGATATTTAAAGTTCACAAATCTCAGAGGCCCAGAAATAGTCTGAAATGCTTTTTGAATCCCCAGTTGAAAATGACAAGATATCTACCCAGGGCAACTTTTTGTATTCCAATTTGTTGAAATCAATAATCATTCATCTTTATTTATTAAGCTATTAAGCTAATTAAAATATGCTGGTCCCTTCCATTCTGGATAAAGAATAACTACTGTCTGACATGGGGGAGGCTGCATTTCAGAAAGCCTACTTGAATAAGGCTTACTTGTACTCTCTCCTATGTGATATATAGATTAAAGAGCTCGTAAGGAAAGGTTCAACAAGTGACTTGTTCCTTCACTACATCTTCATGGACAATGCCTTTGAACTCCCCACTGGACTTGGATTACAACTGCAAGTGTCCTCCTCTGGCATCATCACTCCTGGAATCAAAGCTGGAGTGAAACTGGAAGTAGCCAATGTAAGAATCTGTTCACTTTTTTATTCCTTAGATTGTTCTTTTCCTCCAGGGCAGGTGTCTTGTGCAATTTAAAAAGGTGTTTGCAATTCAAGATGAAGTGTGTCATCATTGGAATCATTTCATTAACTTTTCTTTTTTTAATTTATTTTTTAATTGGAGGAAAATTGCTTTAAAATGTTGTGTTGGTTTCTGCCATACAACAACACGAATCAGCCATGATTTTACATATATAACCTCCCTCTTGAGCCCCTCTCCCCTCCCCCCACTCCACCCCTCTAGGTCATCATAAAGCACCAGGCTGGGCTCCCTGTGTTATATAGCAGCTTCTCACCAGCTATCTATTTTACACATGGTAGTGTATATGTGTTGATGAACATTAGGCTTCCACCAGGATGCACCTAGCAACTTCCACTCAGGCATGGCCATAACATGAGAACTAAGTGTTTCGGTCATCTTTGTATCCTGTTATGCTTAAAGTTAACTTGGGCACTTCCTGGTCCTGGGTATCAGTCTAGCCCTGGAGGACTGAGAATGTGGCTTTTCCTTCCACAAACACATCTCAGTAACGTTTTCTCTGGTGTGAGCCATCCATAGATTCTTCCCAGAAGTGGGAAATAGGGGTGGGGAGGTGGTGATCTGACTGCAGGGGACTAAGGTTATTGAACCAAGCTGATTAGGTCATTGTCTGACTTACAGATGCAGGCAGAACTGGTGACAAAGCCGTCTGTGTCTGTGGAGTTTGTGACAAACATGGGCATCATCATCCCAGACTTTGCCAGGAGCGGGGTGCAGATGAACACCAACTTCTTCCACGAAACAGGCCTGGAGGCGCGAATAGTCCTAAAAGCTGGGCAACTGAAGTTCATCATTCCTTCTCCCAAGAGGCCAGTCAGGCTGTTCAGTGGCAGGTAATTCTTTCACTTAGATCTGACCATACAGTGTGATAGAAGAAATTATGACTGCAGGATTTGGCCAAGCTACACAGTTCATTGAGAAAATTCAGGCCCCAGTGGATCTTGATGGGGGGCAGGGGGAATGGAGTGAGAGAAGGTACTGGATTACCTGCTTTTAACCTGCCTAGACTCACTACATAATTACAGTTTCCTCAGAGAAGGTACTGGATTACCTGTCACTGCATAATTACAATTTCCTAGACTTTTCATATTTCACTAAGCTGAGACTTAAGACTTACTGATTAAATAGTTGCTATTAGGTTGTATTTTCTTGTGTGATTTCTTTTGAGAATGAATGAAACAGTAGCTATAGGGAAAACATCCTTGGGAAATGAACATTTTTTCCAAGAAAAATGCCAAAGGACATACTGATCTGCAATGGCCAGTTCAGTGGATAAAGCATGAAAGTCCTAATCTACTAACTATGGGAGGCAACCTCCTATTGAGAGCTCCATGGTCAATAAAATCCTCAAACATGGATTTACCCTAGTGTTTCCATATTTTGGACACTTTTTTTTAATTAATAATTATTATGTTCGCTGAACTCTAACCCCCTGAATGCTTTGCACCGAGTGTTATCAAATATAAGACAAATGGAGACCATTTTACTCTCATTCTCTTTCTGCCTACACAGTAAAACTGCTCTATAAGGACACATTAATTTATCAGTTCAAATATAGTGAGATAAGCAGGGACTGTCAAGTGAAGGCTGAGTTAGAGGAAGCAGGAGAGGACCATGGCATTGTATATTGTGGAGCACTGGCAGTTAGGGAAAGCATTTTGGAGAAAGCCACACTTCAGCTGATCCCTGGAAGTCATGTGGGAGTTACCCAGACAAAAGAGAAACGAATGAATGTTCCCAGGCAAAGAGAAAAGCACGTGCAGTGACCTGAAGAAAAAATGTGGTTCCAGGAATTACAAGAAGTTCCATGTGGTCAAGTGCATGGGGAATACAGTGAAAGAGGATGTGAGAGGCTGGCAGGGGTTAGCTTTGTGAGCCATCTTCAGGAGTGTGGGCTCTTCTGAAGACAAAAGGGTTGAAAGTGGGCGTGTAAATGAAGTAAGGTTGGTGTTTTAGAAAACTCTGACTTTGGAGTAGGAGATGGGTCGAGAGGAGGCATGGCCAGGGCAGGAAGATGAGTCAGGAGCCTGATTACAACCACACGTTGGGGGAGATGGTAGTGCCACACCTGATGAGGGCAGGCAGACAGAGCAATGAACTGACCCCAGAAATCCTTAGGAGGTGGAAACTTGGTGATGGACTGGATGCAGGGAATGGGCGGTGGAGGGTGAGGATGTGAAGAAAAAGAATGAGTCAGGAAGAGTCAGGGGTGCTCATCATTGAAACAGAGACTAAAGAAGCAAAGCAGTTGGTGAGGGGGACAAGGACAAATGCCATTTTCAACACACTGGCTTGGAAGTCCTGGGAGACTGAGAATGCCTAGCTGTCATCAGAGCCATGAATCTGAGCTCAGTGCAAAGGTCTGAATTACAAATACATATCTGGGCATCACTGGCACACAGAGGTTGGTGAAATCAAACAGTGATTCATGTAAAGTAACGCATGAGGGACTAGGACAAGAACAGATAGAATATACACATGTAAAAGGAAGAGGCATTTGCAGGAGAGTGATAAGGGGTGACCGAAGCCATAAATGGTCACAAAAGCCCGGGAGCAGCCACAGGGGTGGATGACCCCAAGGACAGGGCATCACAGGCACTTAGGGTTCCAGCCCACCAGCAAAGGTTGGTCTCAGCACACCCCTAAAATGAGAAAACAGCCCTAAGAAAAGAACACGATGTATCAGAGACCATCCTTAGATGGAATCAGGACATTGTGAAACATTCTTGTACTTGCTAATTTTTTAAGAGCATACTGGGGAGGAGGATACCAGATATTTTCAGATCTAGTTCAGACTCTAAAGTCTTAATCTGGCCACTAGTGAGCAACTCTACTGAATGCTTCCAAGAGATCAAAGAAGACAAAGCCAAAAAATGTCCATCAGAGGTGACTGGAGATGCTGATGAAGGCAATTGCAGAAGCACCAGGAGGGTGACAGTCAGACCCCTGTTCAAGAGAGGGTGTTGAGTGACAGTGGTGACTACAGAGGCAGACAGATTTCTTGATTGTGAGGGAGACAAGACGGGGCTAGAAGGGCAGGAAAGGGGTGTGGAGTGTGTGTACACAGTGGAAAAAGAAATTTGAGTATGTTTAACACTGGTGGAGAAAAGCTAGTGGAGAGGGACTTCAGATGAAAAACAAATTGTACACCTTTTACCTGCACTTTAGGAAGGAAGGGGCAGCCATGAAGTCAGGTCCCAATGACCATTACTGACCTCTCTGATCCTCTTTCATCTGTAAAAGGAGACTCTTAATTCCTACTGTCATGGAAGCTACAGATAAGAAATGTGACCAGCTTAGTTCAATGTCTTAGTGCAAATTGTTTTGGGAAATGTTAAGAGTCACAGGGTTGTTAGCCTTATTGATGTTCTTCTTACAGTTCTGTGTTTCTGAGTAAATCAAAGAATTTGAGGTGGGTATGGACAGAGGGAAGATAGGGGGCAGGGTAAGGGGGCATTTGCATTGGGAGAATCAGTGATGTTCATTTCAATGACTTGAAAATAACTAGGTTTTTCTTTCTTTCTTTCACTAGTAACACATTGCATTTGGTCTCTACCACCAAAACGGAAGCGATCCCACCTCTCATTGAGAACAGGCAGTCCTGGTCAACTTGCAAGCCTTTCTTCATTGGCCTGAACTATTGCATCACGGGTGCTTACTCCAATGCCAGCTCCACAGACTCTTCCTCCTACTACCCGCTGACTGGGGACACCAGGTCAGAAATGCTCAGTGTCCCCGCCCAGCATCTGCTCCCCTCCTAGATTATGACCCCCTAGCGGGCTTCCCATATGGTGCTAGTGATAAAGAATCTGCCTGCCAGTGCGGGAGACACAACAGGCATGGGTTCCACCCCTGGGTGGGGAAGATCCGCTGGAGAAGAAAATGACAACCCACTCCAGTATTCTTGTCTGGGAAATCCCATGGACCAAGGAGCCTGACGGGCTACAGTCCATGGGGTCACACAGAGTTGGACATGACTGAGCATTCACATGCAAGCAGGGCCAAGGAAGAATGCCATGTCGCCAGCCTCAGGAACTTGTTCTATGCCTTAGTTATTTAGAACTGTGGTCCTCTGCCCTACACACCAGAAGGGTACCTACCTAACCTTTGTGGCCAGGTTTTGGCATCTCCACAGATGGGGAGGAGAGGGCAGTGTTGGAAGGTGAGGTGTCATAACCCCTAGGGAGGTCTTAGCTCCAAAAATAAACAAAGAAAATTTTATCAAACTCCCTCAAGGAAACTGTACCCACTGCCACTGAGAATCACTCCTTTAAAAGCATCTCTTTGTAGATGGCGCCCCCTTTTTCTCCCTCATGCATTAGAGGAGGAGATCATAGACATATGCTGATTTGCACCCAGTTCAGTGTCCATGTTTCCGTTACCTCCAGACACATGGGCAAGATCTTTCTTGAAGCCACTCTCACTCTGTGGCTTCCCTTGTGGCTCAGCTGGTAAAGAATCGGCCCACAATGCAGGAGACCTGGTTTCAATCCCTGGGTTGGGAAGATCCCCTAGAGAAGGCAAAGACTACCCACTCCAAGTATTCTGGCCTGGACAATTCCATGGACCTTATAGTCCATTGAGTCGCAGCATCAGACCCGACTGAGCGACTTTCACTTCACTTCTTGCTCCTTATTCTCAGCTTTGCTGACATAACCAGTCAACCCCTGTTGGTCCAAAACCCCAGGCATCCTGGGACTTGCCCTTGACTTGGACTTTTGGAGGAAATGAAGGGACCTTAAAGATCATCATTAGTTAAGGACAAGAGACAGGGTTAAATAAGGACCAGATTTTTGTTGCAATTGAGGCCGAGTTGTTTTGGTGACGTTATTATTATCACGAAGGCTCTAACATTAGGCAACACATGCATTGTAACATCTTTAGATTTGAACTGGAACTGAAGCCCACAGGAGAAGTGGAACAGTATTCTGCCAAGGCATTCTACGAACTCCGGAGAGATGGTGAAGCCTTGGTGGACATGCTGAAGCTCGTAACTCAGACAGAAGGCAAGTATCCAGAAAAGGGACCCTCTGTCTCCACCCTCAGTCTCAAGTCCAGGACTCACAAGGAGAACTCATTTCACTTAATGTATTTCACAAATAGTTACTGAGTGCTGGTTAAGTGTCAGGCCTGATCTAAGAGCTGAAGATAGAACAGTATACAGAGATGAAGTCACTGTCTTTTTTGTGGAATTTATAGTAAACAACCAAACAAGTAAATAATCAGAAGGTCAGATTCGTGCTGGGGAGAATAGAGCACAGAGGGGTCCAGGGGATGTCAGGAGTGGCAGCCAGGAGTAAGGATGGGGGAAGGCAGTGCCATTTGGAATGAAAAGGGAAGCTCTCACTGGTAAAGGGAGCATAAACAGGAGGCCTGAAAGAGGTAAGGGGATAATGCACATGTAAGAGTGTTACAGACTGAGGGGGCAGCTGGTGCAAAGGTCCTGGGGCAGGTACATAGCCTCTGTTTGAGGAAAAGGAAAGAAGTCAGTATGGTTGAAGCAGAGATCAGGGAGGAAAACTGTAGAAGATGAAGTCAGAGAAATAGGGGCAGGGCGAAGGATGGTCGTGTAGTCTGTGTAAGGATGTTAGTTTTTACAATGAGTGAAGTAAGCTACTATTTTTTAAAATTGAAATATACTTGACTTAAAATGTGTTAGTTTCGGGTGTATAGCAAAGTGATTCAGTTATATATATATATACTTTTTCAGATTCTTTTCCATTATAGATTATTACAAGATATTGACTATAGTTCTCTGTGCTGTACAGTAGATCCTTTTTTAATCTCTTTTATATATAATAGTGTGTATCTGTTGATCTCAAACTGTTAATTTACCCATCCACCCCCTTTGCCCTTTGGTAGCCATAAGTTCATTTTCTGTCTGTGAGTCTGTTTTATCAGTAAATTCATTTGTATCATTTTTTTAGATCCCACATGTTAGTGATATCTTATGATACTTTTCTTGCTTTGTCTGACTTATTTCAGTTAGAACAATAATCTCTAGGTCCATCCATGTTTCTGCATATAGCAATGTTTTATTCTTTTTTATGGCTGGGTGGTATTCCATTGTACGTGTATACCAGATCTTCTTTATCCATTCATCTATTAGTGGACATTTAGGTTTCTGTTGTATCGTCACTATTGTAAATAGTGCTGCTATGAACATTGGGGTTCATGTATCTTTCCAAATTAGGTTTTTTGTCTAATTTGGGTATATGTCCAGGAGTGGGATTGCTACATCATATGTTTATAGTTTTTAGTTTTTTAGGGAATCTCCATACTGTTCCCCATAGTGGCTATACCAATTTATAGCCCTGTCAACACAGTAGAACGGTTCTCTTTTCTCCATATCCTATCCAGCACTATTATTTTTAGACTTTTTGATAATGGCCATTCTGACCAGTGTGCGGTGATACCTCACTGTAGTTTTGATTTGTGTTTCTCTAATAATTAGTGATGCTGAGCATCTTTGCAAATGCCTCTTGGACATCTCTATCTCTTCTTTAGAGAAATGTCTATTTAGGTCTTCTACCCATTTTTTGATTGGGTTGTTTGCTTTTTTATGTTGAGCTGTATAAGCCATTTGTATATTTTGGAAATTACGCCCTTGATGGTTTGCATATATTTTCTCCTAGTCGGTAGGTCATCTTTCCATTTTGTTTATGATTTCCTTTGCTGTGCCTCTAAGTTTGATAATCTCCCATTTGTTTATTTTTGAAGAAGTGACTATCTAATTTGTGTTTATGCTGAGGAAAGACTTTAGAAGGACAAGGGCAGAGAAACTAGTGTGCAGCCTGTCACAATAATCCAGGCCAGAGATGGTGGTGCTTTGGATTGGACTGGTGGTGGCAAATGTGACTGGATTCTGGCCATATTTTGAGGGTTAGGTGGACAGAATTTGCCTGATACAGTGGATATTCAATGTAAGAGAAAAAAGGCTATCAGGACAACTCAAATTTTTGGCCTGAGCAGATAAAGAACAGGGTTGCCATGTCCTTAGATGGAAAAGGCCAGTGGAGAGGCAGGTTTTAGGGGATGGAAAAGCTTAGATATTCACTGTGGAAGATTATTTATGCAAGAACAGTAAGTCACAAGATTAAAAACAAAAGGAAAACAAAACCCAGAGGAAAGGGGGTGCTCACAGGGGATATGTATGAAAATAATGTCATTTAACAATTTCACAAGAGATGTAAAATGGGCAAACCTGTGAACTGAAGGAAACCTGGGAATCTTGTGACAAAGACGGGAGGAGCTGGGAGAGAGGAAGGCAGGGCACAGTGGCAGGGAACCAGGAAGGATGTCATAGGCAGATGCTCATATACAGATGTCACTTGTGCCTGACAGAGCCAAGCCTTTATTTATCCCTGGACATGCTAAGTGTTTCTCATGTCAGGCCCTTTGCACTTCTGATTTCCTCTGCCTGGACTGCTCTCCCCATAGGATACAGCCTGGCTCAGCATCTTTCTCACTTTTATTTGTTTATTTGGCTGTGTCAGGTCTTAGTTTCAGCATGCAAGATCTTTAGTTGCAGCATGTGAACTCTAAGTTGTGGCATGTGGGATCTAGTTCCCTGACCAGGGATGCAACCTGGGTCCCCTACATTGGGAGCTCGGAATCTTAGCCAATGGACCACCAGGGAAGTCCCTCAGCCTGTCTCTTCATTCAAGCCTCTGCCCACATATTCTCTTATCAGAGCTTCTCTGGCCACCACACATGAAATAGCACCTCTTCTATCCTTATCTGTCCTTTATCATCTTATCCAGTTTTACTTTTCATCTTAACATTTATTACCACCGGACATAATGTACTTGCCTATTGTCTATACACCTCCCACTAGAATGTCAGCTCCATGAGGACTGGGACTCCCAGTGCCAAGAGCAGTGCCTCACCCATGATAAGTAATCAATAATTATTTACAAATTGAATGCATGTCCAGTTAAAAATTTAAAAAATACCTCCGAGTTAAAAATTTAAGGTAAAATCCTTGAACTGTGTCCTCATTTGAGTGCATTAAGTTCTGGAGGTTTCTCTGCCTTGTTCTCTTTCCCTCCTACATGGAGCTGATGAATATGCATCTTGACTCTCCTGTACACTCTCCCAGGTGTGAAGCAGACGGAGGCTACTCTGCTGTTTAGATACAACCGGCAAAGTAAGACCTTGTCCAGTGAACTCCACATTCCAGATTTTGATGTTGACCTTGGGACAGTCCTCAAAGTTAGTTATGAATCTTCTAAGGAAATGAAGTCTTACAAGCTCACCCTGGAATTTCAGAACAAGAAAATCACTGAGGTCACCCTCACTGGCCACATAAGGTAAGGAGCTCTCCGGGGGGGTCTGGCCAGAGCTGTGGACCTTTCTGGCTCCACCCTTTCTTCCTTTTCAGCTTTAAAGCTGACCAGGCCAGGGGTACCCACAGTCCACAGTGCAAGGAATCCTCATCATTCTGACTCTCTGCTCTTGTCTGGTTGGACCTCCCTGCCATTCACTGGTATTACTATTCATGAGGCACTGTGCTGGGTACTTTAATTATCTCAGGCCTCATGATAAACTGCAAGGTAGGTATAAGTTTTATAGATGAGGACATGGCAGCTCAGAGGGGCTAAATAATTTGGCCAAGACAACAGAGATAGTAAAGTGTAGAGCAGGATTCAGTTTTTGAAAACCTTCTCTCCCCTACCTCCCTGCAAAGTCCTGCATTTGTGCCCAGTTAGCTTTAGAAGTTGAGGAGTTTAATCTCTAGTCACTTCTTTGAGTCATTCATGTATCTTGTTTTCATCAACACAAATAGAACCCGTGTTTCATCCTGCGAATCTCCTTGGAATGAATGGAATCATTGATGTTGACTTTTTCTTTTTCAATAGCTATGACAGGAGGGAAGAAGGCAAAATCAAAGGTGTGATTTCCATACCCCGTTTGCAAGCAGAAGCCAGAAGTGAGATTCTCAGCCTCTGGTCTCCCTCAAAACTGCTCCTTCAGATGGACTCCTCTGCCACGGCTTACGGCTCAACAATATCCAAGAAGGTGGCATGGCGTTATGGTGTGTATGTCTCTCCTATGTGAGAACACCCAAGAAGAGCTCCGTGTACTTGAGGGCAGTGCTGACAGCTGTAGGTAGGGACTGACCTGATGCTCTTGACAGCTATTTCCCATGTGTGTTTTCAGATGGAGAGAAGATTGAATTTGAATGGAACACAGGCACCAATGTGGATACTAAAAAAGCAACTTCCAATTTCCCTGTGAATCTCTCTGGTTTTCCTAAAACCTTGCATGCGTATGCCAATATTCTCCTGGATCGCAGATTTCCTCAGACAGACCTGACTTTTCGGCACATGGGTTCCAAATTAGTTGCTGTGAGTACACATCAGCCAGTCAATAAATAACATGGTGATAATTACACAGTCAACCCTATGTTAGGTGAAAGAGAATATCCAAAGATGGAGAAGGTATGCTTCCCACCCCCAGGGAATTCCTGGGGAGAAAAAGAAGCATTGACATGTACACTGTTGTTGTTTAGGTGTTAAGTCTTTTCCAGCTGTTTTGCAACCCCATGTACTATAGCTCACCAGGCTCCTCTGTCCATGGGATTTCCCAGGAAAGAATATTGGAGTGGGTTGCCAACTCCAGGGGATCTTCCCAACCCAGGGATTGAACTTGCCTCTCCTGCATTGGCAGGCATGTTCTTTACCACTGAGCCACCAGGGAAGCCCTGAACATGTGTCTAGCTACCCATTTATACAAGGCTGTATGTTTTAAATACCAGATGAATACTACTAAGCAGAAGAGTTACCTGTGCCTAAGACATCACAGGGAACTTCAGGATACTGGCTAGAGGGTTGACTATGCTCTGCATTCTTTTTATAAAATACAGGAAGAGATGAATTACTGCCAACCAATATTAAATCATTTTTATGATTTATATTTTAACTTTGAGTATATCATCCTGCTTAATGATAGAGCTGTCAAATTTGGATTACCACCTAATGTGAATTGTGTTTGATGCCTGTCCATGCCCACTGCTTTTAAAACTCCCGTTATTTTGTAGGCAGCAGGCACCTGGCTCCAGGAGACATCGAGGAGTCTTCCTTACGCCCAGAAAATACAAGATCAACTCAGTGGCCTGCAAGAGTTGTGCCTCCAGAAAATGGAATTGCCAAACTTCCACATTCCAGGAAACCTCTTCTTGAAAAGGTGAAAAAAATGAACCAGAAAAATTTATTGAACCATGAGATGTAAATGGAAGATTTTACTTAGCACGATTTAGGCTTTTTTTCGATTTACATTTTTTATGGAAATGATGTGAGCATTTTAAAGACATTAGTAACTGTAGCATAAATGCTGTGGCATTTTTGCATTAGTAAATATGAGGTCAGAATGTGAACACCAACCCAGTTAAAAAAAAAATCCTGAGAAAGTAATGAGATTCTGGTACTCTGTCCCTAAGATGTTTTATTCACAGGTTATGAAACGCTCTTGGAGGTAAGTGGTTGTGTCACTGTAAGAACAAGAAAAACTATGATTTGGGCTTCCAGGTGGTGCTAGTGGTAAAGAACCCACCTAAGAGACTCCGGTTCTATGGCTGGGTAGGGAAGATTCCCTGGAGGAGGGCATGGCAACCTACTCCAGCGTTCTTGCCTGGAAAATCCCATGGACAAAGGAGCCTGGCAGTCCACAGGGTCGCAAAGAGTCAGACACGACTGAAGCAACCTAGCCCACAGCTATGACTTAGATGGATGGTAGTAATAAGGACACAGCTCTTGGAAGGGATTTGAATGAATTTGAGTGTTTGATAGGTAGGGATTAAGACCAAGGACTCCAGGCCTTGGGAAGAACATGAGCAACGTGCAGTACTGGATTGAGAATGGGCCACATGCACTATTGTTTGGACGGTCAGGAGGCAGTGAAGTTCTTGTCGTCTGACTGTGGGCACTGTCTTTGCTCTTGATTTCAGTGACGGTCGGATCAAATACACCTTGAACAAGAACAGTATGGAAATTGAGATCCCATTGCCTTTTGGTGGCAAATCCTCTGAAGATATAAAGATGTTCAAGACAATTCAGACTCCAGCCCTCAACTTCCAGCCTCTGGGGTTCCACCTGCCATCTCAAGAGTTCCAGATCCCCACTTTTACCATCCCCCACTTGTATCCACTGCGGCTGCCTCTCTTGGGTGTGCTAGACCTCTCCACAAGTATCTACAGCAACTTGTACAACTGGTCCGCCTCCTATACTGGCGGCAACACCAGCACAGACCACTGGAGCCTTCAGGCTCAGTACCACGTGAAGGCGGACTCTGTGGTCGACCTGTTCTCCTACCACGTGCAAGGTGAGCCGTGCCCGCGGGGAGGGTCACAGAACAGCCTCGCTCCATGTCCCAGTGGGAGAACCTCCTCTAGGAAGGGAAAAATTTCCTTACAGATATTTTTCTTGCTACTTGCAACCCTGTTCTTTTATTATTATTATTAATTGAAGGATAATTGCTTTCTGATATTGTGTTGGTTTCTGCCAAACATCAACATGACTTAGCCATAGGTATGCCTATGTCCCCTCCCTCTTGAACCTCCTCCCACCTCCCTCCCCATTCCTCCCCTCCAGGCTGTTACAGAGCCCCAGTTTGAGTTCCCTGAGTCATTCAGCAAATTCCCATTAGCTGTCTGTTTTACATATGGTAATGTATATGTTTCCGTGTTACTCTCTCCATAATATCCCACCCTCTCCTTCCTCCCCCTCCACCACCTGGTCCATAAGTCTGTTCTCTATGTCTGTGTATCCACTGCTGCCCTGCAAATAGGGAACCCTATACTTTGTCCTTCCTACCTTTCTCCCTCCCTGCCTCTCTTCTTTCGGAAATATTTATTAAACACATATGTACCAAGGATTCTACTAGGCAGTAAGAGAGAAGATAAGCAGATAACCTGGCAGTTAGATTTCAGTGTGAAAGATGCCGTGACACAGTCTAGGTAGAAAGTGGAGGCACTTGAAAGGGAAACCCAGCAAGGTCTGTGGTAGTCAGGGAGGGCTTCTGGGAGGAAGGCCTTTTGCTGTCAGATTTCGTGCTCACACTACAAATAAAGGAGACTGTGGCACAACTGACCCAGACCAATGGGACTTTATTACTGAAAGCCTTTCACCATAGCAATTGTTCTGGAGACATATGACTTCATTTAATCAATGTGTTTTGATTTTTATGCTAGGATCTGGAAAAGCAGCGTATGACCACAGGAGTACACTCACGTTATCAGGTGATGGGTCTCTACACCACAAATTTCTGGATTCAAATGTCAAATTCAGTCACGCAGAGAAAAGGGGAAACAATCCGGCCTCAGAAGGTCTGCTAACATTTGACGCATCCAGTGCCTGGGGCCCACAGATTTCTGCGTCAATCCACTTGGACTCAAAGAAGAAAGAGCATTTGTACATCAAGGAAGTCAAGATTGACGGACAGTTCAGAGCCTCTGCATTCTATGCTAAAGGCGCATACGACCTGTCTTACCAGAGAGATCCTGCCACGGGCCAGCTCACTGGAGAATCCAGCCTGAGGTTTAACTCCTCCTACGTCCAGGGCACCAACCAGATAACAGGAACGTACGATGATGACACTGTCTCCATTACCTCCACCTCGGATCTGCAAGATGGCCTCGTGAAAAATACTGCTTCCCTGAAATATGAAAACTATGAGCTGACACTGAAATCTGACACCAACGGGAAGTATGAGGACTTTGCCACTTCAAACAAGGTGGATCTGACCTTCTCTAAGCAGAGTGCATTGCTCCGTTCTGAGTATCAGGCTGATTACAAGTCACTGAGGTTCTTCACCCTGCTTTCTGGATCTCTAAACTCTCATGGCCTTGAGTTAAATGCCGACGTCTTGGGCACTGACAAAATTAATAGTGGTGCTCACAAGGCAACACTCAGGATTGCCCAGAATGGAATGTCCACCAGTGCAATGACCAGCTTGAAGTATAGTCCCCTGGTGCTGGAGAATGAACTCAACGCGGCAGTCAGCCTCTCTGGGGCATCTCTGAAATTAACATCAAACGGCCGCTTTCGGGAACACCATGTGAAATTCAGTCTAGATGGAAAAGCTGCCCCCACAGAGGCATCGCTGGGAAGTGCCTATCAGGCCATGATTCTGGGTGTCGACAGCAAAAACATCTTCCACTTCAGAATCAACCAGGAAGGACTGAAGCTTTCAAATGACATGATGGGTTCATATGATGAAATGAAACTTGACTACACAAACAATCTGAATGTTGCAGGGTTCTCACTGGACTTCTCTTCCAAACTTGACAACATTTATAGCTCTGACAAGTTTTATAAGCAAAATTTTAATCTACAGTTAGAGCCCTATTCCCTGGTAACTACTTTAAACAGTGACTTGAAGTTCAATGCTCTGGATATGACCAACAGTGGAAAATTAAGGCTAGAACCTCTGAAGCTGAATGTGGGTGGGACCATAAAAGGAGCCTACCAAAATGATGAAATAAAACACATCTACACTCTTTCTTATGCTGACTTATCTGCAAGCTATAAAGCAGACACTGTAGCTAAGGTTCAAGGAACAGAGTTTAGCCATCGGCTCAACACGAACATTGCTGGGCTTGCTTCAACTGTGGACATCAGTACAAACTACAATTCAGACTCCCTGCATTTCAGCAATGCATTCCGCTCTGCAGTGGCCCCATTTACAATGACCATCGACACACATACAAATGGCAATGGGAAGCTGGTTCTCTGGGGACAACACACGGGGCAGCTCTACAGCAAATTCCTGTTGAAAGCAGAACCTCTGGCCTTTACTTTCTCCCATGATTATAGAGGATCCACAAGTCACCATCTCATGTCGAGGAGAAGCATCACCACTGCTCTTGATCACAAAGTCAGTGCCCTACTCACTCTGGCTGAGCAGACTGGTGACTGGAAACTCAGGACCCGGTTGGACCAAAATGAATACAGCCAGGACTTCAGTGCTTACAACACAAAAGACAAAGTTGGTATTGAGCTCAGTGGACGAGCCCTGGCTGACCTCACTGTGCTGGACTTCCCGATTGCAGTGCCACTGGTACTCAGCCAGTCCATCAATGTCATTGACACTTTAGAGATGAGGGATTCTGTTGGTCAGCCCCAAGAATTCACTCTTGTTGCTTCTGTAAAATATGATAAGAACCAAAATGCTCACACCATCCATCTCCCACTCTTTAAATTCCTGCCAAAATATTTTGAGAAGACTCAGGCAGTAGTTACAAGTGCACTGGAGGCTGTACAGAAAGAACTGAAGCACACCCATATTGATCAGCACATGAGGAAATATGTGGCAGCCTTGGACAGACTCTCACAGCAAGTTAATGATTATCTGAGCACGTTCAATTGGGAGAGACAAGTTTTGAGTGCCAAGGAGAAACTAACTGCTTTCACAGAAAATTATCAAATGACAGAAAATGACCTGCAAATTGTATTAGACAATGCCAAAATCAACCTTAATGAAAAACTGTCTCAGCTGCAAACATATGTGATACAATTTGATCAGTATATTGAAAATAATTATGATTTGCATGATTTTAAGACAACTATTGCTAAGATTATTGATCAAATCATTGAAAAATTGAAAATTCTTGATGAACATTATCATATCCGTGTCAATTTAGTAAAAAAGATCCGTGATCTGTATTTTTTTATTGAAAATTTTGATTTTAACAAAATTGGAAGTAGTACTGCATCTTGGATTCAAAATATAGATACTAAGTATCAAATAAGAATCCAGATACAAGAAAAATTGCAACAGCTCAAGGTACAGATTCAGACTGTAGACATCCAGCACCTTGCTGAAATGTTCAAACAGCAGATTGAAGCTGTTGACATCAGAGTGCTTTTAGATCAGTTGAGAACTGCAATCCCATTTCAGAGAATAAAGGAAATTACTGAGCATGTCAAATACCGTGTTACAAGTCTTTCTGAAGGTTTTGAAGTAACTGAGGAAATCAATGCTTTCAGAGTCATGGTCCATGAACTCATTGAGATGTATAAAATAGATCAACACATCCAGGCTTTAATGGATAAATCAGTACAGTTGGCCCAACAATATAAGCTGCAGGAGACTGCTCAGAAGCTAAGCAGTGTCCTACAGCAAGTCAAGATGGCAGATCTTGTTGAAAAATTGATTGGGCTTACCAACAATGCTCTCAAGCAGCTTGAAGCATTGTCTTTTAATCAATTCCTTGAAGAAGTAAACAAATTCCTTGACATGTTGGTGAAAAAATTAAAGTCATTTGATTACCACCAGTTTGTAGATGAAACCAATAACAAAATTCATGAGGTGACTCAGAGAATCAATGATGAAATTCAGGCCCTGGAACTCCCACAGAAAGCAAAGGCATTCAGACTGCTTGTAGAGGATGCTAAGATTATGGTCTCAACCTATCTGGAAAACCTAAAGGCCACCAAAATCACTGTATTCTTGGATTGGTTACAGAAGGCTCTAAGTTCAACATCTGTAACTTACATGAAAGCAAAATTTCAGGAGACCCTGGAAGATTTTCGAGACCGAATATATCAAATGGATATATGTCAGGAACTCCAGCAGTACCTATTCCTAGTGGGCCAGGTTTACAACACACTCGTCACCTACATTTCTGACTGGTGGTTTCTTGCTGCTAAGAACCTTACTGACTTTGCAAAACAGTATTCGATCCAAGACTGGGCTGAAAACCTGAAAAAGTTAGTAGAACAAGGGTTCACTGTTCCCAAAATCCAGACCACCTTTGGGACCATACCTGCCTTTGAAATCAGTCTCCGTGCCCTTCAGGAGGCTACATATCAGACTCCTGACTTCATCGTTCCCCTGACAGATCTGAGAATCCCATCCTTTCAGATCAACTTCAAAACACTGAAGGATGTGAAAATCCCATCCAGCTTTTCCACTCCAGAATTTACCATCTTCAATACCCTCCATGTCCCTTCCTTTACAATTGACTTCGTAGAAATAAAAATAAAGATCATCAGAACCATTGACCAGATGCTGAACAGTGAGCTGCAGTGGCCAGTCCCGGAAGTGTACCTGGGAGATCTGAGTGGGGTGGATACCATTCTTGCTGGAATCACTATGCCAGACTTCCATTTACCGGAAATCACTATTCCAGAATTTGTCATCCCGAATCTCAACCTTACAGATTTTCAAGTTTCTGACCTTCACATCCCAGAATTCCAGCTTCCCCACATCTCACACACAATTGAAGTACCTGCTTTTGGCAAGCTGTACGGCATTCTGAAAATCCAGTCTCCCCTTTTCACGTTAGATGCAAATGCTGACATTCAGAATGCAACAGCTTCGGCAAACCAGGTGGAGATGGAGGCTTCCATCACCGCCAAAGGAGCATCCAGATTAGAAGTGCTCAATTTTGATTTTCAAGCAAAAGCACAACTTTCGGACTCTATGATTAATCCACTGGTTCTGAAGGAATCCGTGAGGTTCTCCAGCAAGTACCTGAAGACGGAGCATGAGAGTGAGGTGCTCTGGGTTGGAAATGCTGTCGAGGGAAAGTCAAACACAGTGGCGGGTATACACACAGAAAAAAATACACTGGAGCTCAGTAATGGTGTGCTCGTCAAGGTAAATAATCAGCTTACCCTGGACAGCAACACAAAGTACTTCCACAAATTGAACATCCCCCAGCTAGACTTCTCCAGCCAGGCTGACCTGCACAGTAACCTCAAGACCCTGTTGGAAGCTGGACACATAGCATGGGCTTCTTCTGGAACTGCATCCTGGAAATTGGCCTGCCACGAATTCTCAGATGAGGGAACACATGAATCCCAAAGTAGCTTTACTGTGGAAGAGTCCATCACTTCCTTCAGATTGTCTAATAAGATCAACAGCAAACACCTAAGAGTGAACCAAAAAATACTGTATGAATCTCGCTTCCTCAACTTCTCTAAATTTGAAATCCAGTCGCAAGCTGAATGCCAGCATGTGGGTCGCAGTGTTCTAACTGCTAAAGGCCTGGTGCTGCTTCAAGAGGGGAAGGCAGAGATAACCGGCAACCATGATGCGCATTTAAATGGGAAAGTTGTTGGAAATTTGAAAAATTCTCTTTTCTTTTCAGCACAGCCATATGAGATGACTGCATCCACAAACAATGAAGGAAACTTGAGAGTTAGCTTTCCATTAAAACTGACAGGGAAGATAGACTTTCTGAATAATTACGCACTGTTTCTGAGTCCTAGTGCCCAGCAAGCCAGTTGGCAAGCAAGTGGCAGGTTCAATCAATATAAGTACCATCAAAATTTCTCTGCTGGCAACAATGAGAAAAGCATCGAAGCCCACCTAGGAATAAATGGAGAAGCCAACCTGGATTTCTTAAACATTCCTTTAACAATCCCTGAAATGACTCTACCTTACATAAATCTCACAACTCCCCAGATGAAAGAAATCTCCTTGTGGGAAAAGACAGGCTTGAAGGATTCCTTGAAAACAACAAAGCAATCATTTGATTTAAGTGTAAGGGCTCGGTATAAGAAAAACAAAGACAAACATTCCATCCCAGTTCCTCTGAATGCCTTCTATGCACTTATCCATCGTAACATCAATTCCTTCTCCAGGCTTTTCCAGACAGTCAGAAACCAGGCACTAGATTTTTTTATCAAATCCTATAATGAAGCAAAAACTACTTTTGATAAGTACAAAGTTGAAAAATCCCTTAACCAGCAACCCAAGATCTATAAAATTCCTGGATACACTATTCCAATTGCCAACATTGAAGTGTCTCCCTTCACAGTAAAGATGTTAACATTTGAGTATATGATCCCCAAAGAGATCAGCACCCCCAGCATCACTGTCCTGGGTTCTGGCATCTATGTACCCTCATACACGTTAGTCCTGCCATTTGTAGAGCTGCCAACCCTTCATGTCCCTAGGGAACTTTCTGAGCTTTCTGTTCCAACATTCAACATATTGAGTACCATAAACAAAATTTCAGTTCCAGCCCTGGGCAATATTACCTATGATTTTTCCTTTAAGTCAAGTGTCATCACACTGAGTACCAATATTGGTCTTTATAACCAGTCAGATATTGTCGTTCATTTTCTTACTTCATCGTCTTCTGTCATGGACACACTACAGTACAAATTAGAGGGCACCTCAAGTTTGACGAGGAAAAGAGGACTAAAGTTAGCCACAGCTCTGTCCCTGAGTAACAGATTTGTGGAGGGCAGTCATGACAGTACCATTAGTTTCACCAAGAAAAATATGGACACATCAGTGACGACAACTGCAAGAGTCCAAATTCCAATTTTGAAAATGAGTTTCAAGCAAGAGCTTCATGGGAATACCAAGTCAAAACCTACTGTCTCTTCAGCCATTGAATTAAAGTATAATTTCAATTCCCCCAAACTGCTCTCTGCTGCTATGGGAACAGTTACCCACAAGCTCACCTTAGAAAGCCTCACCTCTTATTTTTCCATTGAGTCATCTACCAAAGGAGGTGTTGAGGGTTCTTTTGGTTCACGGGGATATTCAGGGTCTCTTGCCAGTGAAGCCAGCACTTACTTGAATTCCAAGGGCACCAGATCTTCTGTGACACTGCAAGGAGCCTCCAAAGCAGATGGTCTCTGGGACCTCAAAGTGAAAGAAAATTTTGCTGGAGAAGCCACACTCCAACGCATATATACCATCTGGGAACAAAATATGAAAAACCACTTAGAGCTAGGGGGCCTCATTTTAACATCTGGAGAGCATACAAGCAAAGCCACCCTGGAGCTCTCCCTGTGGAAAATATCAGCCCTCGTTCAGGTCCGTGCACATCAGCCCAGTTCCCTCCTTAAAATCAATTTCCTTGGCCAAGAAGTCTCCTTGAATGTTAACACTGAGAACCAGAAAATCAGCTGGAAAAGTCAGGTCCAGGTTCATTCTGGGTCTCTTCAGACCAATATACAGCTTTCTAATGACCAAGAAGTGGCTCGCTTTGACATGGCAGTCTCCTCAGATGGGTATCTACGGTTCCTCAAAGATACTGTCCTACCGGTTTATGACAAGAGTTTGTGGGACCTCCTAAAGCTGGATGTTACCACCAGCCTTAATAGGAAACAGTATCTCCGTGCTGCAACTGCCCTCATATATACAAAAAACCCCAATGGTTATCTTGTTTCTATCCCCATGCAAGAATTGGATGATAAATTCATTATTCCTGGACTGAAACAAAATAATCAAAATTCTGTTCATGTCACACCTACATTCCAAGTCCCCTTTACAGATCTTCAGTTTCCATCTTACACACTTGACCTCGGTGAAATAAAAATCTACAAGAAGCTAAGTACTCTGCCATTGACCTTCAACGTATCAACTCTACCCAAAGTAAAATTCCCCAGAGTTGATGTGTTAATACAGTACTCTAAACCAGAAGCCTCCTCTGTTCCCTTTTTTGAGATAACTGTGCCTGCATCTCAGCTGACTGTGTCCCACTTCACCCTTCCCAAAAGTATTTCAGTTGGCAGCACTGTTCTGGATCTAAATGCAGTAGCCAGTAATATCGCAGACTTTGAGCTGCCAACCATCACCGTGCCCGAGCAGACTCTTGAGATTCCTTCCATGAAGTTCTCTGTACCTGCTGGAATTCTCATTCCTTCCTTTGGAACACTGACCGCACGTTTTGAGGTGGCCTCGCCCTTGTACAACACCACTTGGAGTGCTGGTTTGAAAAACAAAGGAGATCATGTTGAAACATTCCTGGATTCCACATGCAGCTCAACCATTCAGTTCCTGGAGTATGACCTAAATGGTAAGGAAATTTCCTGACTCCCCACCCCGCCCCAACACACATGCTGTATTTCTTTTTTTTTTTAAGACTTTATTTATATTTGGCTGTGCCGGGTCTTCCTTGCTACATGGAGTTTTCTGTAGTTGTGGCAAGTGAGGGCTACTCTCTAGTTGTGGTGCATGGGCTTCTCATTGCAATGGCTTCTCGTTGCAGAGCATGTGCTTCAGTTGTTGCAGTTCCCGGGCTCTAGAGCACAGGCTCAATAGTTGTAGTATAGAGGCTTAGTTGCTCCTTGCCATGTGGGATCTTCCCAGATCAGGGATCGAACCCATGGTTCCTGCATTGGCAGGTGGAGTCTTTACCACTGAGCCACCAGGGAAGCTCCCCTACCCTCTGCACATGCTGTATTTCTTCAATGAGAGTTGTAAATAAATCATTATGTATTTAAATAGGACTTGAGGCAAAGCTGCTAGCTATAGCAAAATTTAAAAGAGGCAGGAAGGAGATACATTTATACCCCATATGTGAAAACCATCCTGTTGAAAACCTACTGACATTCTACAGAAGTAGTTTCAGAGGCAATAGGTGTTTCTGTAATCATTGTAGGACGCATAAGGTCTCCTTTTTTTTTTTTCAAATGAGGACTGCGTGTTACAAACATATAAGACGTATAGTTAAGATAGAATTCTCTGTTTTCACAAGGAAAATATTTATATCCTGCAGTTACTAATCTAATGAAATATAAAATCTGTCCCATACAGTTGTAGGAACACACAAAATCGAAGGTGGCATGTTAGTGTATAAGACTAACGCATCATTTGCACACCGTGACTTCAGTGCAGAATATGAAGAAGATGGCAAATATCAAGGACTTGGGTAGGGAACTTTTAATTTCATCTTCTTTCTAGTTATTGTGGTGTCTGCCATCTCCACCTCCTTTTTGTGATGGCCCATCTGTTTTTTTGGGGGGTTGGGTTTTTTTTTGCTTTCAGGTACTGGAATGGAAAGGTTGACCTTAACATCACCAGCCCAACATTAACTGATGTCCATCTGCACTACCAAGAAAATGAGAATCACTTCTCCTCATCAGTAGCCTCCCCAGCCATAGGCAATGTGGTCGTCGATGTGAAAAACATTAGCAATACCTTATTGGGATGGAACCTCTACTACTGCCCTCAGGTGAGTCCCATCTAGTGGTTTACACATATCAAGAGTAAACATAGAATATGGGCAGATAAATTGAAGTCCATACAAAGTATTACCTGGGCTTTCCGAAACACAAGCAATGAACTGGCTAAACTTCTCTTCTGAGGAACTCTTCTCCAGAAAGTGTTAGGAGTCTTTTATTGATTGTATGAGATGCACATATAACTTCCTATTACCACTATTATTTTATTACATTTGGGTAATTCTAGAAAGATGAGAGATTTTGCCTCATCCCCTAAATCATGGTCAAACTCTGCCGTATGCTGAGTACATTTTTCAGATTGGGGCATCTGGAGTATTTGAGGCTTCAAAATTCTTTCCCACGATAGGATTGTTAGGTAAGATATGCCAAATTCCTCTCACCTACCATACAAGTTCTGCTGGGGCCAAATTAAAGTTGCCATTAGTAGAGAAGAAGAAATAACCAGGTTCTATTATTAAAGTTTGTCATAGGCTTGGAGGATGGATGGCACCTGGTATTGGTCTTCTAGTTCTCTCCTAGATGGACCCTGGACATTTTTCATTTTTGTTACATCTTCTTTCTCTGAATTAGTGTTTTCCTGGGTCTTTTTTTTTCTCCCCATTCTCTCCATCCTTCTCCTCCCTCTTCCTCCACTTTCTCTTCCTCTTCTGATCTTCAGTGCTAGAAAAGCCTTGATGTTAAATGTCACTGTGCAAATGCTGTACATAATTTTATCCTTTCTGGGGCATGTGTTAAAGAGAAATTAACAAGAGTGTATTTGCTTAACCATAAGACAAACACATATGAAATATATGACATGTGAAAGATAAATCTCCATCAGAATATGAAAGATCCTCTGATCTTTACTTTTAATAGCTAATGAAGTTTTAATGCAGTGTATTATGTAATAAGGATAATTGAAACATGTTCTTTTCATCCTTTTCTGCTGGTCTTAGGCCTCTCCAGATAAAATACTCAACATATTCAAAATGGAGTTGAGGGTCCTGGAATTGGATGATGAAGTTCAAATCAAGGCTAACTGGGAAGAAGAAGCAGTGTCCAAATTGTTAAGCTCGCTCAAAGACAATGTGCCCAGGGCCATGGGAGCCCTTTATGACTATGTCAACAAGTATCACCAAGAGTACACGGGACTCAATCTGAAAGATGCTTCTTTAAAACTGAGGAGAGGCCTGCAGGACAGCGCTGATCAGGTGTATCAAGGGGCCATGAGGCAGATTGATGAAGTGGACGTGGAGCTCCGAAGCATGGCCAGAGGTACCACTGAAACCTACCAGCAGTGGAAGGACAAGGCCCAGCGTCTGTACCGGGAACTGTTGGCTCAGGAGGACCACAGTGGTCTCCAGAGACTCCAGCAGAATGTGTCAGACAGCTTAATAGGAGTTATTCAGGGATACAGCGTGACAGTCAAGCGTGCAACTGACTTGCTCATTGATCTCCTGAATGTAACCAGATTCCAGCTCCCAGGAAGAGCCAGGAACTATACTGCAGATGAGCTCTGCACTGTGGTCATACAGGAAATAGCGAAGCGACTGTCCCAGGTACATTCAAATATCCATAATGGGTTACATATATTGTTTTCCTATTTCCTATACCGGATGGAGGAGTCTGAATTATACAAGGACCTAAACAATAAATTTTCTTTTGCGTCAATGAGCAATCAACTAATAGGTATGGTCTTGGAGTGTATGAAAACGCTTATATTTTTCTCACAAGAGATCCAAAAAGCACTTAGTTACCTCCAGTCTACCATGATGACAGAGATGCTAAGTGATCTTCAGAGGTCTCTACAAGACATTTTCCAAGAGATAGAAAGTGAACTTAAACGCTTCAAAGAGAAGAAATCAACTGATCTCGTTAATCAAACCCTACAGAATATCAACACAATCTTCGACATATACATTTCATTTGTTTTTAGATCCCTGAAAGAAAACCTAGACTATAACTTTGTTGAGTTTAATGAACTAATCCAAAATAAACTTCAGGAAACTTCTCAAGAATTACAGCAGCTCCATCAGTACGTGCAGGCTCGTCACCAAGAATATTTTGATCCAACTATGGTTGGCTGGACAGTGAAATATTATGAATTTGAAGAAAAGATCATCAACCTGATCAAGAACCTAGTAGATGTCCTTAAAGACTTCCATTCCAAATACACTGTTGGTGCTGCTGATTTTGTTTCCCAACTCTCAAGTCAGATTGAACCACTGATTCAGAAAGATTTGCAGGAGTATCTTAGCATCCTTGGCGATGCAGAGGAAAGGGGGAAAGAGAAGATTACAGAGTTTTCTACCAGTGCTCAGGAAGTAATTAAAAGCTGGGCTGTTGCAGTGAAGGAAATCATTTCTGATTACCACCAGCAGTTCACATATAAACTACAGGAGTTTTCAGACCAGCTCTCTGATTACTGTGAAAAATTCATCTCTGAATCTAAAAGATTGATTGACCTGTCCATTCAAAACTACCACATGTTTCTGAACTATATCATGGAGTTACTGAAAGAGCTACAATCAGCCACAGTCAATGACATGAGCCCCTACATAAAGGTTGCTCCAGGAGAGTTTACTATCACCTTCTGAATTTTTATAGCAATTCTCCAATTAGACTTTCACATAGTAGGGAAAAAATTCAAACCGTATGTATTAATATAACTTTTGACCAAGCCAGCCCTGTAACAGGCAGCTGGCTCCAAGCAGAAGCACATATGAACTGGACCTGCACTGAAGCTAGCATCAGTTCTCTAAAGGTCTCTGAGCTCTGGGGAATGACATTTTTTGCAAGTTCAAGAAAACCAGGATCTGAGTTATTTTGCTAAACTCTGGGAGAGTGAGAACAAATAAATTCTTTATTGTGTATCATACCACTCATCGTGATTCATTCGCATTGAAAGAGAAAATGGGAGTATTTATTCAAATGTCTGACATTTCAAAACCTCTGGAACACATACTGTTTTGAGTGATAGGGGAAAAGGAGAATTTAAGAAGGGACATATTCTGCTACCTGAAAGGAAGTAACTGATCTCAGAGAGTACATTTGCCAAGTGAGAATGAAAAATTATTTGCAGAAGCTTTCACATAATTTGATCCACAGGAGCATCTCATTATGTGACACACAGTCTTCCTCAGCAATCAGTCTGCATTTGCCAGGCAAGGCTCTCTGCTAGGTTCTGAGATAAATCAACAGGCCCTTTTTTCACTCGCCTGCCAGGAATGGAGAAGGAATGGCTAAGAACTCCTAGCCCCCAAGGACCTCATGGTAGGGACCCTAGAGGCTCCCTGAAGCTTGGCCAGGATCCATTCATGGCCGAGGAGGTAAGGGTAGGAGAGGAGGCATGGGTTCCTAACATTTCTGGACCAAGCATACATTTATGCTCTTGAGTTTCTTTATTTCTCCAAGCTTAATATCCAACCATCCTAAGTGTAATCAAAACTCAACTGTTTCCCTTGCTTCATCCACTCACCTCAAACTCTGATCTTAAACACTGGCAACATCCAGTCAGGGGCTTCCCAGGTGACTCAGTGGTAGAGAATCTGTCTGCCAATGCAGGGGACATGGGTTCGATCCCTGGGTTGGGGAGATCCCTTGGAGAAGATAATGGCAACCTACTCCAGTATTCTTGTCTGGGAAATCCCATGGACAGAGGAGCCTGGCAGGCTACAGTCCCTGGGGTCACGAAAGAGTTGGACACGACTTAGCAACTAAACAACAACAACATCCAGCCAGAGCATCCAAGGTGAACTCTGGTGAAGGAAGGCTAGAAGATGATATCATTGGGAAGGGCAGCTATAACATTCATTTCAATGGCACTTGAGGACAGAGGAAGGGTGTGACCATTGGAGAATAGGAAATTGCAGACTCTCACCCCTACCCAAGTCCTACATGAGGCCTATTTGGAAAAGGCCCTTTTATTCCCAAATACCTTCAACCTGTACCATTCTTTCATAAAGCTTTCACATTCCCTTCTTGAAGGCTACTTTTAAAATGCGCAAGCATTAGGAAACACATTAGCCTCTTGGTACCTTTGCATGATTCTTCTGTCTGGAACTGAGGAGCTAAAGAGAGTCACAGGGAGGTAGAATACATCTGGATCTGATACTAAAAGAAAGTCTTCTGGCCAGTGAATCAGTAGATGGATGGATGGATGTGTGGGCAGATGAATGAGTGGATGGGTGGAAGGATAGAGATCATTGAGTGAATGAATGACAGAATAAATGAGGGGTTAGTTCCAAGGATGATATGGGAGGGAAATTAGGCCCAGGTCCCAGAGCATCATGTGAGTAGTTCCTGGCATAGTGCTACGAGACTTTCCCTGATGAGCTGTGAGCAGCAAGAATCTACTGAGTGTTCAAACTGAACGGAAGCCTGGGATTATGGCTTAATTTGGAGGGGAAGAAGTCCAAGGTTCTTAGTACTCATGTGGTGATACCTTTGTCTGGGGCATGAGTGGAGGAAAAAAAATAGACACAAAAATTACCATAGAATCACATAGTGCCACCTTCCTAGTTCCCTGACTGGTATCCCTTGTATGAGGTACCCTGACTGCCTTAGCATATCTTTAACATGCTCAGTGAAGTTGGAAGAGGGAATTCTTGAGTGACTTGGACTTTGCCTGCCCTCTTCCTTTGTCTTCTACTGCATATCAAGATACTTCTCTGGGTTCAGTTAATGGCTACATTTCTTACTTGTCTGGAGCTTTGGGCCACTAATTTTCCCTCTGTGAACTTCAGTTTTGTCATCTACAAAATAAAGGTAATACCTATCCTGCCTGCCTTGAAAGGCTGTTCATGAATATTAGTTGAAATAATAAAATGTGAAACAATTTTATAACCTTTATTGTTGTATAGAAACCAAGTGCCTTATTATTAGATGACTACTCAAGCAAGTTTATGGCAAGGAGAGAATGGAGGCAAGGAGAACTAGACAGTTCGCTGCTGCTGCTGCTAAGTCGCTTCAGTCATGTCCAACTCTGTATGACCCCATAGATGGCAGCCCGCCAGGTTCCCCCATCCCTGGGATTCTCCAGGCAAGAACACTGGAGTGGGTTTCCATTTCCTTCTCCAATGCATGAAAGTGAAAAGTGAAAGTGAAGTCGCTCAGTCGTGTCCGACTCTTAGTGAGTCCATGAACCGCAGCCCACCAAACTCCTCCATCCATGGGATTTTCCAGGCAAGAGTACTGGAGTGGGGTGCCACTGCCTTCTCCAGACAGTTTAGTGAACATTTATTAAGTGCTTCTATGTGCTACACACAAAAGTTCTATAGAGGAAAAAAAGATCAGTAAGACACAGTCCCTGGATGTCTCTCTATCCATCTGTTTATCAGAGGTGGAATGTGCTCGCCCATCATGGATATATACAAAGTACTCTAAGGGTTTATCACAGGAAAGGATAAAAACCAAGAAGTATTCATGGAGACTGTGGAAATGGATCTTGAGGATACATAGACTTTGAGAAGAGGTAAGGGAGAAATGACACTACAGAAGAACATAGCAAAGAAACAGAGTTAGGTGCATTTGGAGGTGGCCAAATCAAGGCTAGGTAGCCAAATCAAGGCTAGGTAGCCAAATCAAGGCTAGGTAGCCAAATCAAGGCTAGACAGGATTCAGAAGGCAGCAGAGGTCTTGAAAGCTGGCACTTTCCTGACTGGCGAGGGCAGCCAATGAAAGTGCTTGAATAGGAGGCTGAAATGTGCCGTGACTTAAGAAACCTGGTATCACAGCTTCTACAGGATGAATCTGGGTTTGAGGCTATTGTAAGGTCCAGGTAAAAGATACTGAGCATCTCAGCCAGGTCATAGCTGCTGAGAATGATGGTGGGGCGGATACAAGAAGCATCAGCAAGACATAACTGACAAATTGACAGAGCTGTGGGGCTGATTGTTAAGGACAGAAGGGATGTGTGCAAAGGCTCTAAGGACTGGAACCGCCTGGAAAATTCACTGGAGGCAAAAATTGCTGGGACGACCCAAAGAACAAGGAAGCAGAATGAGTCAAACTGACTTCAGAGTTAAGAAATTTTGAACCTGCATAAAAACTTGAAGACCTATGGGGCATCAGCAGAAACAGGAGGAATGTGTAAGGGACAGATTATTAGTGTAAGGCATAGACTCATAGCTGGTCATGTGGGATCACATGGTATGCTTCCAGTTGCATGGTATGTCCGTGCAGAAATATCTCCAATATTATATTGGTGATGTGGGCTAGAGAAACTATCCAGAGAAATGGGGATGAGGGATCATTTTAACCAATTGTATTGATTTTGTGTCCTTATACCTACCTTTAGAAATGTAATAAGAAAACAGAGTTTTTCCTCTTGTATAATTAATTGCCCTATTGACCTGAGAGTGAGCCAACATGTACATGTCCTGAGAACATCCTGTGAGATGATGTGGAAAGTACTACTATAAACACAGCTATTCCTCCCGTAAAACAAATATCCAAAGTTGAAAACCAAGGGAGAAATGAGATAATGGCACCCAGCCCAGGTCCCTGGAACTTTGGAAGCATGACCAAGCTGTGTACTTGGTTTGACTCCTGGGTCCTGCCTTAGGCCAGTGGCTCTGTACCCAGGATAAACCTTGTGATAATTAAGTCTCTTGGGAGTGGGTACCACCTGGAGCATAAGGAGCTCTGCCCATTCTCTTTGCTTTTCCTGTGAAGGCTGATCAGTTAAGGAACCCAATTGCCCTTTACCTATGAGATGAACAAAGTCCCCTCTGACTTCTTATTCTAGGTCCCTTTTCTGCCTCTAATTTACGACTTAGTCCCCATTCAGTCAGAGAAGGGGCCAAGCTGGCCCTCAAATGGGGCCTGTAACATGGGAGCCAGGATGGACAAACAGATGTTCCCTCTAAAAGTGTCTCATAACCAGAGATAAATGTGCAGAAACAGACCCTACCTCTTAGCTCATCCCTTTGTCTCACTGTTTCACATTAAGAGGTCAACTGCACTCCCTTCAAGCACTCTCTTTGTTGGTGGGATGGTTGGGTGGTCACCAACAAATAATATTCCAGAGCCTCGTAAAAGCTGGTGGAGTAGGTACACATGTTTCTAGGAGGAGAGGGCCCTGCCCTCCTCCTCCTGTACAGACTGGCTCACACCTCCTCCGAGTCTGAGCAGTGCCTTGGGTCAGTGATATCCAGGGCACTACGCACTAAGTTCTGATCCTTGTGTCAACTTTACCTTCTGCTGGCACCACTGAGGCCCAGTTTTAATCAAGAAAGACAACTATGGCCTTGGAAGGTAGGATGGTCCATGAGCTGTGTCCCTACCCTTGTTTCTAAGCTGTGGCTGGGCCATAGCTGTGTGGCATGAGCACCACATGGAGCCGAGACATTCACACTTCAGACTCTCAGCTAGAGAGTAGACTGAGGAAAGGGTGGCTCGGTCAGCAGCCCGGCTCCGCCCGGATCCTCAAGTGGACTCGCCACTCCTTCCTTCTCTTCCATCAAGTGGGTCGAATTCAGGCTGGCATGTAGATCCCTATAGAGCAATGAGACCCCCAAGGCAGCTCCAGGAGTCTTGTCCCAAGGGTTGAGCTAGATGGATCAGAGCTGAGGTCATTAGAACCCTCCTGGAATTA